TGATGAATAGATAAATAGAAAATTGTAGCCCTGTCTTTATTAATATTTACCATTGATAAATAATTAATGCATTCAAGAAATCTTAAGACACTAGGAAATACATTTAGGAGTAAATTTAAAGAATTAAACCATAGCTAAATCAACTACCCCTAGCATGGAAAACTTGTCCATTCTTAGGATATTATTAGTACCATGCTATTTTAATACATCAAAGAAAGAAAACTTAGATCATCTCATTAGATGCCAAAAATGTATTTGTTTATTAACAAGTTCATTATTCTTTTTTTAAAAAAACTTGGGAAATGGGAAGAGATGAATAGTCTTTTTTTTTTTTTGATAAATATGTATTTCAATCAAACCATCATGGTTTTTGGTGAAACTCTTTAAGGCATTCCCATTAATACTCTGACAGAAAACAAATATGCCAGCTATTACTACTGTCTTTTAACGTTTCTTAAAAGTATTAGCCAAGCCCTAACCGGTTTGGCTCAGTGGATAGAGCGTCGGCCTGCAGACTGAAGGGTCCCAGGTTCGATTCCCGTCAAGGGCATGTACCTTGGTTGCAGGCATATCCCCAGTAGGGGGTGTGCAGGAGGCAGCTGATCGATGTTTCTCTCTCATCGATGTTTCTGACTCTCTATCCCTCTCCCCTCCTCTCTGTAAAAAATCAATAAAATATATTTTTTTAAAAGAAAAAAAGACAAAAAAAAAACCTCTACTGGGGTTTTCTCTTTAAAAAAAAAAAGTATTAGCCAAGGCAGTTTATCACAATTATGCAGTTGATCTAATTATATACTTAAAGAACTAGCAGAAACAATATGAAAATCAAGTAAGATGGCCACCATATTGAACAATAGGTTTTATGTATATAAACAGTAACCATGTGGAAAATACAGTAGAAGTTCTGAGTTAAAAATAACAAGTTGAATAAGTACTTGAGTTTGCCCCCTGCTGAGCTCCACCAAAACTATGGCAGAGGGATTTTTTTAAAAGCATAAACCCACAGGGACAAGGGGAACAAGAGAGAATGCAGCACCAGTAAAACTGGAAGCAATAGTGCAGCTGTACAAATGGTAAGTACCCAAGAAGGGAGAGAACTGACAGTTGTTACAGTTCACACCACAGAATCCTCAGAAGGCCCAGAAACGGGAAATGTAGAGCAGTCTTCTTCAGATCCTGCCTGCAGTACCTATTTACACAGTCTGCCAGAGCCTCTGAGTGTGGTGAGCCCAGTGCCTTCCAGGTCTTGCTCATGAACTTGCCCTTGGGTTTTACCAGAAGAGGCTCTTGTAAACTATGATCCAGAGAAAAGTTCTTTTTTTCTCAGTAACCTTCTTTTAATAGTGACAGTATTGCTCTTTCACTCATGTAGCAGGTTTTATTCTGGTAGGGAGTTTTTAGAAGCTAACCTGATACTATTTGGGACACATACATAGGTGGTAAATCCATGAAAGAGACCCAGGATAATGACTACCTGGGGTGGGACACACTAGCTTCAGATGTATTGGTTATTGATAAAGTTCTGTTTCTTAACCTGGTTACATTTTACATATTTAAAAAAATCATAATGAAAGGAAAGATCTGAACAACAAAAAAGAAACCTCAACTAGGAATAAATTTAACAAGCAATCTTCAGGATCATGCGAAGAAATCATTTTATTAAAGATATAAAAGGATACTTTGAGTAAATAAAAAGATACATGCCTAGATGTGTATATTTTCTAAAGATGCTATGTAGTAATTTATAAAAATTAATATTTATTTGCATTGTTATTAAATAGGATTTTTCTCCATGTGCAGGGAAGTTTCACCAAAATGATAGTATTTCATCTAGAAAAATTAATGTGTAGGAAAAGGGAAGTAGGTATTATAAAAAAAGGGATTGGTATTATTATTAACATATTTTGAAGCTTCAATGATCAAAATAATTTGTATTGCAGAGGAAGCAGTGCAGTGGAATCGAACAGAAAATCCAGAAATAGACCTAAGCACACGTGGGAATCTGGCTATGATAACATCGAATGCCAGAGAAAGAAAGAGGGCAGGGCATGTTTGCACAAAATATCAGCTCAATCTCTGCCTCAGCAAACATTTTCAGATAAATGAAGATTTAAAAAACACACACCAAAACTGAATAACAATAAAAACAAAACTTCAATAAGAAACCACGAATTAATTTATGTTTTTGTTGTGATACTTTCTTTTTAAACAGATATAAAACCCAGATGCCATAGAGGAAAAGAGTGGATATATGTATTTAAAATTCTGAGTGGAAAATAATAATGTAATCAAACTCAAAAGACAGATGACAAACTGAGGAAAAATATTTGCACTACAAATGGAAAATTTCCTTAATTGACAAAGACATTTTTATAAATGAAAAGGACTAATAGTCCAGTGCAGACAAGACAAAGGATTTGAACAGGCATTATGCAGAAAATAAATGCGAAAGGCCAGTAGAAATGTATAAAAAAAGGTTACTTCTCTTATAATTAAAGAAATGTAAATAAAAACAATGGGGTAGTATTTCTTATCTCTCAATTGGGCTAATTTAGAAGTTTGGTACTAACTTGAGTGAAGGTATGGGAAGCAGAGTGGCTTTATAATTGATGGCACTGTAAAGTGTACAGTTCTGAAGAGCAGTTTGACACTGTCAGCATTTTAAGTGCATGAACCTTTGGACTTAGTCATCCCAGCACTGGGGGACAATGGAGGATACTCCCCAAGTTAACCAAAACAGCCAGAAAGCATTGCTTATTGTAGCTTTGGTTGTCATAGCAAACACACACTGGACAAAACCCTGAGCACCACATGGAGATCGGGAGTGGAGTTGAAGCTCAGTCCATATTCCTGGTCCAGCTCTCAGTTGAACCGGGTCATGTAGAAGGAACATCTACTACCAGTGCACCCACTAATGTGGAGCAGCAGGTGGAGTTGTGCAGTCTGGCCTGATAGAGCTTCCTTCCTGGGGCCTCCAGGCGGGCAGCAGTAGCCAAGCTTTCTGCCCAGCCAAGAGGAATTGAACTCCTTTGGAGCTCCTTTGTTGCTGCTTTTTCTCCTAAGGATTGTTTTGGTGGCAGTGAGAACCCTAGAATTTACTCTGGCTTAGCTAACTTCACAGATGAGCTCCAATATCACCTCATAGGCCTGGCTTCCCTGCCAAAGTTAAGCCTTTGATGAAGATGGATCTGTTTCCTGTGAACACTGGAGTACAAGCCGAGAGTCCAGCTCAGCCATGAGCCCCTAGAGCAGCGGTTCTCAACCTTCCTAATGCTGCAACCCTTTAATACAGTTCCTCATGTTGTGGTGACCCCCAATTTCGTTGTAACAAATTGAACATAATTAAAGCATAGTGATTAATCACAAAAACAATATGTAATTATATATGTGTTTTCCGATGGTCTTAGGCGACCCCTGTGAAAGGGTCGTTCGACCCCAAAGGGGTCGCAACCCACAGGTTGAGAACCGCTGTCCTAGAGTGTCACTGCACTGCTGCTCTCCCCACACAGTGCGCCATCCCTGGCCACTGTCAGTGAAAGTGAAGACGGACAGTTACTGTGCTGGACCTGACTTTGCAGAGGCGTTTAAAGCTGAGCCCACAGAAACTGTTGAGAGATACTACATGGTCCTCAGTCACTCCCTCTTTACTCTGGTGGGCTGAGGCTGTCGGGGTTACCCACCATGCTCTCTGCCTTACAGAGCTTGCCCCACTCCCTGGTTCCAAGAGTGGTTGATAGCAAATTGATGGTATTTGACTCAGTGAGTTAGTCCCAATGAGAATCCATTCCCTTTCCTCTCCTCCCATCAGCTGTGAGGGAAGAAGGATGTTTGCTTTACTAGTTGCGTGCAGTTCATTAGCATAAGTTCTGTCAGTCTCAGAGAGGCTAGATTCTGGGGTCCTAAAGATAGGTAGGGAGTTTTTGGTTTAGGAATGGAGATAAAAATAATTAAATCTTCTTTCACAGCTTATTAACACCTCCCTCCCCGCACGCTGACAAAAGATCTCTGTTCATGCCACATGGCTGTGCATGGGAAATAGGCTACAGCTGGGTAGAGGGTGATGCAAACAATTCTACCACTGGAGCTCTCAGAAAGACAGGAATTTCTCTCTGTAGGTCTTGGTTAATGTTCCTGCTTGTAGGAAATAGTTTCATTCATGCACATATAGTCTAAAACAGCGATCGCCAACCTTTCGGACCTCACGGACCACCAGTGGTCTGCTGACCTCCGGTTGGCAACTACTCGTCTAAAACACCTTAATGTAGAGTTTCATCACAGGCTTGCCCATCCCCTTCCTGCTGAGTGCAGTGATACCTGTTGTCCGGCCTGAAAAAAAAGTGTGGCTTATGTCCTATACCTAATGATGCCTAATTCGTGCCCTTCCCCTGGCCCAGAAGCAGGAGACATGTGGGCCCCTTTCTCTGTGGATGTAGAAAGCCTGAATTCTATGTTAGTGGACCATGTGAAGGCTTTAAAATGCACAGTGCTAGATAGAATCAGAAATATTGGTTGAAAATAAAAGTTTTTGGATTTGTTGGTCTTATTTGGGGAGAAAGAAATAAAGTATTCTTTTTAATAGGCAACTGGATTAATAAATTATAGTATATCCATGCAGTGGTATATTCTTTAAAAGATCTGTATCTTCCAGTATGGAAAAATCTCCTAGTGCAGTTATTTATTGATTAAAAACCAGGTAGTTGTGTTTGTAATATAATACCTCTTTTGTGTAACTATTGGTGTATGCATGAAATAGTCTAGGAATCAATTATAAATGAGTATTACTTAAGGGGAACATGGCATGTCTTGTTTTTGCCTCTTTACTATTTGATTTTTCCTATTATGGAATTGTGCATCTGCTTATTTTTCTGTGTTGGGGTTGTCTGGGTTGTGGATTACATCTAACCATTATTTGTGTTTCTCTTCCTAATTTTCAGCACTTAATTTTTACTTTGTTTTTCTAAGTTATATGTAATCCTATCTTTGTATTCTTATATTCTTAGGTTACACAGGATGACATCAATTGAAAGAGAAGAAAAAGAGAAAGTCAAAAAAAAGGAGAAGAAACAAGAAGAGGAAGAAACGATGCAACAAGCTACGTGGGTGAAATATACATTTCCAGTTAAACATCAGGTAATTTTTCTTACAATTTTTAAAACAGTGTTTGCCATTTCTGAGACTTTTATTCTACAACTTTGAGTACTTGATAGTTTGTTTTACTTTTGATAATCTTTTCATAAAGTTGGAATGAAGTAATCTTTCTGGCAATTTTATAAGCATAGATTTATCTTAGTAGAATATAGGTGAGTTATTAGACCAATTTTTTGAAATTGTCATCACATTGTAAAATTGTGTTACATTTTTTATATCAGAAAGGAAAATTAGGGTTTTTTCATAAATCTTTGATTTTTGCTGAAAATAAAATTGATAAATTTAATTAATTTGTCTGCCTGTTGATTTTGTTTGGTAAAAATGTATAGAGCTACACCTGTACTTTATAAGCATTCTCTTTCTTGTTTAACCGGAATGTTTTTATTTACAACAGGTTTGGAAACAAAAAGGAGAGGAATACAGAGTAACAGGATATGGTGGTTGGAGCTGGATTAGTAAAACTCACGTCTATAGGTTTGTTCCTAAATTGCCAGGCAATACTAATGTGAATTACAGAAAGTCATTTGAAGGAAGTAAGTAATTGAAGTATTTTTCCTTCATATTTATTTCTTATAGATTTATAGTACTTTCTTTAGAGGCTCAGTGCACGAAATTCATACACTGGGGTTGGGGGAGGGGTGGGGGCAGTCCTCTCAGCCTGGCCTGTGCCTTCTCACATTCCGGGACCCCTCGCTCCTTACTGCTCAGCTCGCTGCTCCTTAGCGCTGCCATGAAGGTGGAAGAGGCTCCCACCATGGCCGCTGCACTCGCCAGCCGTGAGCCTGGCTTCTGGCTGAGCAGCACTCCCCCTGTGGTTGGGGGCCAATCAGGCTGGGCTGGTAGCAGGGGAGGGGACGTGGGAGGTTGGGGGTGCTGATCAGGGCCCCGATTGGGCTGGTTGGCCACCGCAGTGTGCGTCATAGTGACCAGTTGTTCCGGTCATTTGGGCGTTCCAGTCGCTTGGCTTTTATATATATAGATAATACTTTTTATGAAATTTTTAATAGAATGTTCAAAATTACTAATGTAGCTTAGCTTTTTAAAAACTTGATAAGTTTTAAGATTACCTTTATTCAAAGGATTTTGATACCTAGGATTTCAGTTAATTAGAGATGATGGAATAGAATTTGTATTATTTTAAAAAAAAGAAAAGACAAAAGGCCTCAGCCACCTAATTGTTTTTTCTGAAATCTTAAATTCAGTACTACTTGACTCCTTGAGGAGTCATACATCTGGTAACCTCAGCATTACAGCACGTGACAAAACTAGAAAGGAAGTGATAGAGATTTCCATAACACTGTCACTTAAATGAGGGATTAACTCAATTTATGCTACTGGGTAATGACTTTAGAATCATAGAACTATAGAGGTGAACTGTCCTTTTAAGAAACCTTATATATTGAGCCCAGCTGGTGTGGCTCAGTGGTTGAGCACTGACCTATGAAGTAGGAGGTCATGGTTTGATTCCGGTCAGGGCACATTCCCAGATTTCATGCTCAATCCCAAGTGGGGGGCGTGCAGGAGGCAGTCGATCAATGATTCTCTCTCATCATTGATGTTTCTTATCTCTCTCTTCCTCTCCCTTCCTCTCTGAAATCAATAAAAATATATTTTTCTTAAAAAGAAACCTTATATATTGAAATTCATATTACACAAGATTATTTCATGAAGATGTTAAGTGAAATACTGAAGTTCATACTAGATCGAGAGTGATATGGCTGGAATCCTTATCTCTTGGCTTCCTTTGCCCTTTTTGCACTCTACCATGCAGTCTCTCTCTGTTAATTAAGCGATTTTCAAAAGCAGTTCTCTTCACTGTGCAGTATAATTTGCTGATTTATGGTGTGATGTGTTCTTTCCTATGAAGTCTATGGTAGAAGTGTCAGGTACTATGCACATATCTAGCTAATTGATTTGGCTTTTTTTTGTGAATGGTTGTATTGAAAACTGGACTGGTAGATTTTTGAAATTTAGGGAAGTTATGAGATTATCTTTTAATAGAAAACTAATGTATTTTATAAGGCCCACTGGAATTTATTTTATGGAAACTAGAAGAGTCTTGCACATTCTCAATGAATTTTTCTATTTTATTACCAGTCTATTATTACCTGACTAGAGGCCTGGTGCACGAATTTGTGCATGGATGGGGTCCCTCAGCCTGGCCTGCGATCAGGGCCGATCTAGCTGGCCAGGGGGAGGAACCTCAGAAGGTTGGCTGGCTGTGGGAGGTTGGCTGTGGGAGCACATTGACCACCAGGGGGCAGCTCCTGCATTGAGCATCTGCCCCCTGGTGGTCAGTGTGCATCATAGCTACCTGCTAGTCTAGTCGTCTGGTCATAAGGGTCGCTTAGGCTTTTATATATATAGATTATATTCAGGCTAAATGTCCATGATAATGCCCATTACATTTTTTTAGCACCATCTTGTTGCACTAGTTACCCATATAACACTTAGAATTCTAGAGAGCTTTTGTCTTACTCTGTCTGACCTGGTTTAACCTTGAAATAAAGTTCTAATTATCAATATGCAAAATATTTAGGCTTTTGCAAATTTTTTTATATCCACTTTCTTAACAGGATTTTCCATTGTCCAAATGCTGAGCCTTAACAGTCAGGTACCAAGTTAGTCTTCTAGCATCGTTTGAGCCTTTCCTTCCAGGTGTTAGCAGGGGGAAAAGCAGCAGTACATATTGTTAGCTTAGCTTAACTACAGACTAGGAATCACAGAGAAGGCAATAATAAATGTTTGTACTATTTATATAAATCAATATAGATTATACTGTTTATAATCTCAGAACTGTTGCTCCCTATAATGGCTAATCTAATCTGATCATGTGATAGAGGCACAGATGTGTTGTTTGGCTGCTTTGTGTTTCTTAACTCTAATGTTACTGTATTCTAACTCAGATTGTGTGCATTTGCTTTGCATATTAATTTATCAGCTTTAGTAATGGGTGTATATTAATGTTTATGTCAAGAAGATTTTAATAGGGGGAAAACCCCAAGTATTTTATAGTTATTTGTTTTAAATATCAGGATTACCATTGTCATATAAAACTCTTTTTGAGCAACTTGAAACCATTGAGAAAATGTTTCCCAGCAATTCTGCAATAACTGAAGAAGCATTGAAAATGAAGGGTATCAGTTTAGGTTTTATTTTTTTATTCTTTTGTTACCTGTGGGGTCCAGACACATCCCGTCATCCTTTTGTATATTGCTTTTCTTCTTTTACCACTATGCTGCTTTTTTGACAGGTACTGACTGTGTTTTTTGCATTCTTTTTCCTATCCTCGTTCAAACCTTTCTGGAAGGATTCATTTATTTAAATAAAAAATAGGTACATCTTGCCACGTCCTTGAGATATTTTAGTTCAAGTGAAGAAGAAAATAAAAGGTAGAAAATGCCTCTCTAAGATTTAAGAATATTCACCCAGACAATAGTTATGTTTTGTGGGTTTCTTTTTTTATTTCTTATGGAAAATTTGAAACCACACAAAAGAAAAGAGAATAGAATAATGAACTCCCATGTAACCATCCTTCAACTTCAATAATTATCAAATTCTAACACTCTTCAGTTGTCACTGCCCACTTTTTTCCTGGAGTTTTTCCTGCAAATTCCCAAAATTATGTTACCAAATTTGTTCAGTATGTATCTCTAACTAAAATGGATTTTTTTCATGGCCACATGCCATTATCACATTCAGCAAATTAACAATGGATTCTCAGCTCATACTGCCATTGTCCCAAATTGTCTGAAAGATGCCTTTTTACTCTTGGCAGTAAATCGGGTCCAAACAAGGCCACACATTGCATTTGGATATTTCTCTTAATTCTGTAATACAGAATTAAGCATTCTTCATTTGGAGTCAATGGATAAACTTCAAGTTTATCCAAGAATCCATTGAAATTAATTACAAAAGTTTGTGTATGTACTTTTTTTTCCAGGGCAGTGGTCGGCAAACTGCGGCTCGCGAGCCATATGCAGTTCTTTGGCCCCTTGAGTGTGGCTCTTCCACAAAATACCGACTTCTGCGCATGGGCCACGAAGTTTCAATCGCACTGCGCGCCCGCACGTGGTATTTTGTGGAAGAGCCACACTCAAGGGGCCAAAGAGCCGCATGTGGCTCTTGAGCTGCAGTTTGCCGACCACTGTTCTAGGGGATCAGAAAATTTATCCAATTTTAATATGGTTCTGTAACACATTGTCTGTGGAAAACCACTATGCAAACTTTCTGGAGTCAATGAACAGGCTGAAATAGTCTCATTTGTGAAGGCTTCTAAAGCACATATAAAATGAAGTCATTCCTTTTATGCTTTAGGTCACTGGAATATATAAGAAAGTATATATAGGATCTTCAACTTAAAAAAACAAACACACTTTATTGAAGAATAATAAACATACAGAACACGACTCATAGATATACATCTGGGTTGGTTTTCATGGACTGCACATTCTCTGAGACACTGACCATGACAGCACCCCAGACTCTCCTACTCTCTTCCCTAAACACCTCCTGGGATTATCTAACAACTTAGTTAATTTGGTCAGTTTTTGTTGTTTTTTCCCCTATTTTAAAATCATTTTTTAAAACATTTTTAAATTACATTTGACATACATTATTATATAATTTCAGGTATACACCCCAGTGATTAGACTTTACATAACTCACTGATTATCCCAATAAATCTTGCACACATCTGATACCATACATAGCTATTACAATAGTATTTACTATAGTCCCTATGCTGTACTTTATATCCCCATAACTATTCTGTAACAACCTATTTGTATTTCTTAATCCCTTCACCTTTTTCACCCATTCTCCCAACCACCCCTACCCCCCCCCCCCCTCGCATCTGGCAACAATCAGAACGTTCTCTGTATCTCTGAGTCTGTTTCTGTTCTGCTTGTTTGCTTAGTTTGATTTTTAGATTCAAGTTGTTGATAGATATGTATTTATTGCCATTTTATTGTGCATATTTTTTACCTTTTTTTCCCTTAGAGAAAACCCTTTAACATTTCTGATTTGGTGGTGATGAGCTCCTTTAGCTTTTTTTCTTGTCTGGGTCAACTTTTTTTTTTAAATTAAAAATAATGAAGTATATTGCTGGAAAGTACTTGGTAATTTCCACTCAATTAGATATATTAAATTGCTAATAATCAAAATATTTGTAGTTAATATATACTTGGTTCTTTTCAGCCAAAAATAATATGGATGAAAATATGGATGAATCAGATAGAAGAAAAAGCTCACGAAGTCCAAAAAAAATAAAAACAGAGCCTGATTCTGAGAAAGACGAGGTAAAAGATTCAGGTGCAGCAAGAGGAGCAGACCAAAGTGAAATGGACATTTCAAAGATTACTGAGAAGGACCAAGGTAAGGAGAGTCCATTGTGAAGGTCAGCCTGGGGGTGATAAAAATGCACTGTATCTAATTCGCACAGCAGGAAAGGTACTGCATTGTCTCTTTTTGATAATAGCATTATTGAAACAATCCTATGCCTTGTAATTCACTCATTTAAAGTGTACAATTTAGTGGTTTTTAGTATTTCACAGAGTTGTTCGGCTATTACCACAATCAATTTTAGAACATATTCTTGACCCCAAAAAGAAACCCATATCCATTAGCATTCCCAATTCTCCCTTTATCCCCCTCCCCAGCCCAGTAATTTACTTTTTGTCTCTATGGATTTGCCTATCTTTACATTCCATATAAATGGAATCATGTAATATGTGGTATTTGTCACTGGCCTCTTTCACTTAACATAATGTTTTCAAGGTTCATCCATGGTGTAGCATGTATCAAAGTTCTTCATTTAAAAAAATTTTTGAATAATACTCGATTATATGGATATGCCCCATTTTGTTTATTCATTCATCAGTTGATGGACATTTGTGTCCTTTTTACTTTGGGGCTATTATGAATAATGCTGATATGAACATTTGTGTATAAGTTCTTATATGGACTTATGTGTTATTGCTGGGTCATGAGATAATTCTACATTAAATGTTTTGAGGAGCTTATATTGTGTTTTGTGAAAAGTTGTTTTTTAAAAGATAAGTGAAATAATGCATGAGCCTTAAGATACATTTTTTTAAAATATATTTTTATTGATTTCAGAAGGAAGGGAGAGGGAAAGAGATAGAAACATCAGTGGTGAGAGAGAATCATTGATCGGGTGCCTCCTACATCCCCACACTTGGGATCGAGCCTGCAACCCAGGCATGTGCCCTGACCTGGTTCATAGGTGGATGTTCAACCACTGAGCCACGCTGGCCGAACAAGATATTTTTTAACTATAAGATATTCTACATAGGATCTTACATGAAGGTACTGGTATATGCAGTAGCTATCATATAGCAAGTAATTTTACATTGTAGTAGTCCACCATTTTTAGATACTAAGAATTAGAATGTTTAAATATTTGGAATATATTGATTTTTTTAACCTTTTATAACATTTAGCCCTGTCTGTTAACCTATTTTAATCATATATTAGAAAATAAAAATACTATCGTGAATTGTACTTTTAAGAGTAAAAATATCACTTATATACTTGTCTTTGTTTTACAGATATAAAAGAAGACTTAGATTCTGACAATGATAGATCCTTTAAGGAAGAGCCAATGGAAATAGATGATGATGTGAAAACAGAGTCACATATAAACTGTCAGGAAAGTTCTCAAGTAGATGTGGTCAATGTCAGTGAGGGTTTTCATCTAAGGACTAGTTATAAAAAGAAAATTAAGTCATCCAAACTAGATGGACTTCTTGAAAGGAGAATTAAACAGTTTACACTGGAAGAAAAACAGCGACTTGAAAAAATGAAGTTGGAGGGTGGAATTAAGGGTGCAGGAAAGACCTCTACAAGTTCTTTGAAAAGTTTGTCTGAGTCACCAGTAATAACAAAAGCAAAAGAAGGGTGTCAAAGAGGCGTGCTTAGACAAGAACAAAATTCTAATGCAAGTAATGATAAATCTGAAGACTTTATTCAGGAATGCTCAGAAAGTGATTCCTCAATTCTGGGAATTAGTGATACTGATCATACCACAAGTAAACTTTATCCAAAAGATCAAATATTAGAGGACGTCTCCATTCAGAGCCCAGAGACAGACTGTCAGAAACAAAATTCTGTTGGAAATGACATAGATGAGAGGCTCTCTGAACCAAGCAGTAAAGGCTTGGAACCCAGTAAGATTAAAACAAAAGGAAGTGATTTTCTCATTGATGACTTTAAATTAGCCAGTACAGATGAAATTGGTCCTTTGACTTCTAAAAACAAAAAACCACTCACACAGCAGAATAACAACACCATTGTTTCTCCTTCCCAGAGCCCTTTATTTCCATCAGTATCTAAAAGTACTGACAGAGATATCTCATCTCTGTCAAAAGCAATGGACTTTGAAGGAAAATTGGGATGTCACTTTGAATATAACAGCACTTTGGAAAATAGTTCTGATACTATATCTATTCAAGACAGTGAAGAAGATATGATTGTTCAGAATAGCAATGACAGTGTTTCTGAGCAGTTTATAACTCAAGAACAAGGTATTGAAGGCATGGAACCATTGAAATGTGAGTTTGTTTCAGATAAGTCCACTGGAAAATGTGATGACAGGCTTCAGGGTAAGATAATGGAAACAAATGGTAAAAAAACAAGTCAAGAACAAAAATTAGAGGAGAGACCAGTTAATAAATGTATTGATCAAATAAATCTAAAAAGTAGCACTGACAAAAAGAATAATGAAAATCGAGAGTCTGAAAAGAAAGGACAGAAAGCAAGTACCTTTCAAATAAATGGAAAAGATAATAAACCTAAAGTATATTTGAAAGGTGAATGCTTGAAAGAAATCTCTGAGAGTAAAGTAGTAAGTGGTGACGTTGAACCAAAGGTTAATAATATAAATAAAGTAATTCCTGAAAATGATATTAAATCTTTGACTGTTAAAGAATCTATAAAACCATTCATGAATGGTGATGTCATCATGGAAGATTTTAATGAAAAAAACAACTTGGAAACAAAATCATGTTCACTGAGATCTTCAGATTCTGAACGTGACTACCAAGATGGCCTAGAGACCCTGCCCTTAACCAGAGAGAGTGAGAGAGCACAAACTACCACACCACCCCCAGAAAGCAGTGCAGTGAATCAGGTGGAAGATATGGAAATTGAAACCTCAGAAGTTAAGAAAGTTTCTCCATCACCTATTACTTCTGGAGAGGAATCTAATCTCAGTAATGATTTTATTGATGAAAATGGTCTGCCCACCAACAAAGATGAAAATGTCAATGGAGACTTGAAAAGAAAAACAGTCATCACAGAAGTCACCACCATGACATCCACAGTGGCCACAGAGTCAAAAACTGTAATCAAAGTCGCAAAAGGTGATAAGCAAACTTTGGTCTCTTCCACAGAAAATTGTGCCAAATCTACTGTCACAACCACGACTACAACAGTAACAAAGCTTTCCACACCTTCCCCAGGCAGCAGTGTGGACATCATCTCTGTGAAGGAGCAGAGCAAAACGGTGGTCACCACAACAGTGACCGACTCACTGACCACTGCAGGAGGCACTCTGGTAACATCTATGACTGTGAGCAAAGAATATTCCACAAGAGACAAAGTGAAACTCATGAAATTTTCAAGACCCAAGAAGACTCGTTCAGGTACAGCTCTACCATCCTATAGAAAGTTTCTCACCAAGAGCAGCAAGAAGAGCATATTTGTTTTGCCTAATGATGACTTAAAAAAGTTGGCCAGAAAAGGAGGAATCCGAGAAGTCCCTTATTTTAATTATAATGCTAAACCTGCCTTGGATATATGGCCGTATCCTTCTCCTAGACCAACCTTTGGTATCACGTGGAGGTATGTACTTTAAAATGTATTTGGGGAAGGGAGGAAGTTTAAAAGAATTCTCTAATATCCCTTAAAAAGAAAAAGAGAGAGATAATAGAGAAAAGACAGGGAAGCATATACTTAAAGACTGAAAATTTAAGGGAATCCTTTAAAATGAAATTTGATATTACTTTCCACAAAACAAAAGAAACAGTTGTTTTTGTGGTCTAACTTTCCAAATTATTGCCAGGTGTGTGCTCTGGGAATGAGATAATCACAGAATTGGATAATCACCCACTTTCTGGAATGTTTGTATAGTTGACCCTTGAACAATTGGGGGTTGGGGCACTGAACACTCTTGTCAAAAATCTGTGTATAACTTAAGTCAGCCCTCCGCTTACACAGATTCCTAATTGTAGATAAAAATGTATTTTATTTTTGTTAGATAATGCATAAAAACATAAGACCTAGGAAACTTGCCTATAAATTACATTAAGGTTCATTATGTGGAAATCTTCCTAATGTAATTTATTTGTATAATAAACATTTGTTCTGAGGTACTCTTATTTATGTAAATAAAGGTAGTCTCTGAGATTGTTTAGGGATTTTTTTAAGCCCAGAAATAAGCTTTGGGGATGAGTCATAAGTATGTAGTGTGAGATCATAAAGTTTTATTTTCGAAAAGGATCTTACTTTTATGTATGTACTAGAGGCCCGATGCACGAAATTCGTGCAAGAGGAGGCCTTCGCAGCCATAGCTGCCTCGATCCTCCCTCGCAGCTGCCGGAGGCTGCCTGGATCCCTCCCTTGCAGCCAAGGTTTCATTCCAGCTAATTAGCATATTACACTTTTATTATTATAGATCATAATTTGCCTCTGCCCACAGAGGGACCAAATTAGAAATAGTGCCTGGTTTTCCTAAATCCTAGCCCAGTACTTTATCTGCTATATCGCATTTCACATATTTATCCTTGCTTTGTCCTTTTTCATGTCCTTGTCTTTTTTCCTGTATACCCTTACAGTGGAAAAGGATGAAACATAAACAAAAAGAGTTCTATGGGACATACTCAGAAATTAGGAAGGATCTCAGTTTTGCAGTTACCTTTTGTTAGGATCCTGAAGTTGATTACTTCTGCAAGTTACTGAGCAGGCTTCATTTCTGTGTATCTTTAATATGGTCCCAGTTTCTTAAAGTTAAAAATCATGGTTTTTTTTTAGTTTCCTCTATATGACAGTAGCCATAAAAGACCAAAAAAAAAGAGTGTAAATGAATACCCTCTATAAAGGAATTAACTTATTAATATGATCAGGCATAGTTGGTTTGACCAAGTTTTTATAACTCATCTTTTGATTTGAATTAAAATATCACTCCATTACACATTCAATAGAGACAGCTGAAAAGTACAATTTCTCTGCAGGGCCTGCAATGAAGGATTTGCAGAATCCTGCAGGGAATCAAGGAACTCTTCATTACAGTTCATGGATTTGTAGGATTACTCTGCACTTTTCTGCTTTCTTCATTGAGAGCGGTCCCAAAGTGTATCCTTGACTGTCCTGCAGGTAACTTCTTTCCCACTGGAAAAGTTACTGTGTACAAATACTTTAATTACAATGACCTGGCAGTGGTGGAGGCCGATCTTTCTGCCTTTTTCTATTATGAAATGGAAGGTAGGCTCAACTGGGAAGCATTTTCTTTGGACCAGTTCTGCTCAAGTGTTGCCCAGGGCCCTTTTTTGCACGGCTGGGTTTCAGGAGCCTTGTATTGTTATGTTTTAATATGCACTCTGGGCACAGTTTGTATCTGTTTAGTTAATTCCTCATTCTTAAATGGAAGGAAATACCTTCCTGTATATTTTAAACAGATACTGCCTTCAAAATATATGCTAACATCTTAATTTGCTAAAGTTGAAAGAAACATAATCCCTTCTGTCTAACAGGCATGGGTGAATATGTAAATTATTTATTACTTTAGAATGCAGGGTTTTTTTGAAAACATATAGCTATAAAAAAACATGCATGTGAAATGCATTTTTATACTTACACTTGAATAAAATATTTCTGATGTTTAGAGTAGTAGATGAGAATGCCAAAGGTGCATGTTCAATCTTGATTAATGTTAAGGCTGAGCCATATTGAATAAGTGAAATTTGTCTCGTCTACTCATTAGGGCTTCTTTTTCCCTCCACTGTCCATTCCTTCCTCTCTTTTCCCCAGGCCCTGATTCCATGTTTTATTATCACTTTGAACCAGTAGTTGTCTCCACAGTGCTGCCAGATGGACCCTCTAAAATGCAGGTCTATCCTGTGAATATTCTGATTGAACTTAGCAAACATGTATAGGAGACTGGTTAACTGCTGCAGGGCTGAGAGGAGAAAGTGTTTGTCCCCTGTCCATCTCATCTATGAGAAGTACTTTCCTTTCCAACTCACCCAATACTGGATAAATTTCAGAGGCCTTAATAGATTGCCTTTGAGTCTCTGCCTTAATCCTTCCACTTGGTGCAGCACATTCTGGCTCTGCCTTTCTCTCTCATGCCGGCGTCATCTCATGATGCACATCTACACCCCTTCCTGCCAGCCATAGCACACCAGATATGGTTTTGGGGAAGAAGTCTGTGCTTTTTTACATTTCCCCCCATGCATATGTGTGCCCCTTGCCTGCAGTCAGCCACTGCCACATCCTTTTCATTTCAGAGTCACAAACAAAGCTCTGATCCACAACCCTGAGCCAAATCGGATGCTCACCCCCCCACCCCCCGCCACCACCACCTGTGCTTTCCTTTGTTACAGCTCCTGGGGACACATCACCAGATTATAATTCATTAATGTGTCCCCAGCTCCTTTCACTTACACATAGAGGGCACTCAGACTTATATTTTTGAATGAATAAATGAATGAACAGGCTGATAATGCATGAGATATTTTCCCCACCTGATGTCATTTCCATTGTAAAATAGAGATGCTTTAAAGTTGTTTGTAGAGAGTGATTAGAGCAGCGGTTCTCAACCTGTGGGTTGCGACCCCTTTGGAGGTTGAACAACCCTTTCACAGGGGTCGCCTAAGACCATCCTGCATATCAGATATTTACATTACGACTCATAACAGTAGCAACATTACAGTTATGAAGTAGCAACGAAAATAATTTTATGGTTGGGTCACAACATGAGGAACTGTATTTAAAGGGCCAGAAGGTTGAGAACCACTGGATTAGAGGAAGGAGAAAGAGCATGAGAAAACACTTCACTTTTCAAATAGTGAGTCCAGAGTTCCTATAGGATGTGTTCTAAAAGTGACACACACTTCCTCCCTCCTAGGATATCCCTGCACTAGTTAACATTTGCTCACTAATTAAAGAATTCTTTTGTGCAGGTCAGAGGATTCACAGGGTGATAACACAACGAATAAAATAATGGTGTCACAGGTGGAGATAGGAAATTAAGTTGCAGCAACTTTTTGGCTCGAGCTTTCCCTTTCTCACATCGTTCACTTTTCCAATTTAACATTAAGTATAGAAAGCATTGCCTTCCAAACTGTCTAAGATTTACTGTCTACCTCTGTAAGAGGAGGAAATTATTTAAATTGTGTAAGTTTTCTCTACACTGCAATCAACCAGTGTATTCATTTAAGTGTCAACAAAGTATTTAATTACTCAAAGATTACTAATAGAGAATTGACAGCCTAGGCCTGCTTTAAAATGTTTTATGGTTAATTCCATTTTAAAATATGATATTCATTACAATTGTAAATTTGTTTTGAAATGTGTTTTGGTTTTTTTTAGGAAAAAAACAACAGATTATCTCCTGATTAGTAACTAATACAATATTGTCCTTTTTTATTCTTCATTATATTAGGATTCCAAAACTATACTAATGTTAAAGTGTTATTAGTGTTAGCAGTATTCATCATCCAGGAGTTCATGTTTTGCAGAGCCACCACTTGAACACAAAATTTTCTCTTATTTGGAAAATTTTGTGAGTTCAAAATTTAATTCTCTATATTTGCTCTCCTTCATAATTTCCTAAAACTTATTTTGAGATTAGGCTAAATTGATAAGATCTTCACATATTGTTGCTGTATCTATCGTACAGTGAAGCATGCTTTTTGCACAGATTTATGTCATTTGAAGTGACTACCGACCCTTTTTAAGTCGTTAGATGCATGTTATACCTAGGAACAAAAACATTTCTTATTAAGGGATATATAATGGCCAAAGTGCTTACAAAGCCATATTATAAATACTGAATGAGGACAAGAAATAGTCCTTTAGTTTAATAGAGAGTGTGTGTGTGTGAACATATATATGGTACTTCTTGGGTTTTTCTTTCAGGTATAGACTCCAGACTGTAAAGTCCTTAGCTGGAGTGAGCCTCATGTTACGCTTACTGTGGGCAAGTCTGAGATGGGATGACATGGCAGCCAAGGCTCCTCCAGGAGGAGGGACCACACGCACAGGTAAAGGTTTTTGATTTTCTAGTTTAAGCTTAAAGAGAAAATCACTTGATAGTTTGCTTAATTTTGAGTATATCTGATACTTATTAAAATACAATGCTTATGTTTTAAAAATATAGCTTTGCTAAAGTTTGTCAGCACATGCTAGAAAATCCTGGGGGCAGGGAAGGAGGTTTCAAATTATAAGGTGAGTCACTTATATATGAACCAGTCTGAATTTTTAAAAGAGATTTATTATTATAGAGCAGTGGTTTTCAGCCAGTGTGCTGAGGCATACAGGTGAGCCACAGGAATTTTTAAAACATGCAATACCTGACTATGTAGTCAGGGGGACTGACTCCTTTCCCTTAGATTGTCAAATTAAACAATGAACAGACAACACAGCAAAAGCCATCAGTGTGAATGAATCAAATTACACCTATGTTTGTTGTTGTTAGATTGGTAAAAAAACATAATATATTTTTTTGGTGTGCTGCAGAATTTTAGTAACGAGTTTATGTGCCATGAGATGAAAAAAATTAAAAATTGCTGTTATAGAGTAGAAATCGTTTAAACTGGGACAGCTCAAACTCTATGCTTGCTGCTTCTCTCCTAGTGTTATTATTATTTTGGATGAGTTTAGCCACCAGGAACTAAGCTGCCCCAAACGGCATTTTGCTCAGTTTAGAAATTTTCAAATATTTCTTTTGATCGTTAATAAAATGCTTCCAAAAGTTTGTTTCGTGTGTTTCTTTTAAAGCAGCAGATGCTGTACCTGAATATTTTAGTTGCTTATTAATACTTGTGAATTAAATCACCGTAGAAACATCCGAAACTGAAATCACAACAACAGAAATAATTAAGAGACGAGATGTTGGTCCTTATGGCATTCGGTCTGAATACTGTATCAGGAAAATAATTTGTCCCATCGGAGTTCCGGAAGCACCAAAAGGTAAGGAATAGAAATAATTCTGTTCTTTCATTATTGACCTGTTAGCCACATTTTTTATGAATGGAAGTATCATTATAATTGTTTCTTTAACTCTTTATTCAACTTTTGAAAGATACTATTTTTTATTACAAACTATTAAATTTTAAAAATTGTATTTAAGTAGTAAACACAGTAAAATTCCACTAGGCACATGTTGATGCCCATAGGTAGTGTGCCAAGAATAGGAAGAGTACAAAGAGCTATAATAATACCTCTTATAATTAAAATGTGGAACAGTGATTGACACCGGATTACATGCTCCAAGAGGGTAACCACCAAGTCTACCTGGTTTGCTGTAGTCCCAGCACCTGCTACAGCAACTGACCTATAAGTGGTCATTGAAGATTTGTTGACTCAAGGATTAAAGATACTATAAAATACTTCCTTGTTCAGGGTAGAAATAATCTGAGAGGCTAAGGAGTACTCAGGAAACATTTATAGAGAGCCCACATGATAGGCACTGGATGGTAAATACGTAGAAGAATGAGATCCAGCTCCTATTCTCAAGGAAGCAAATAAAAGTTATATTAGTGTCATATTATACTTGAGGACCAAAACTATGAACACTAAAAAGAGCTCAGTGAAGTGTCCAGATTCAAAATATATAGACAAAAATCAATAATTTTATTTTATATGTGCATAAAATATTTATGAAAAAACTTATTAAAATATTAATAAAAGGAAAATGCTGTTCTTAGAAACATACTATTTTATAAGTTAGTTTTCCCCAAATGTATAAATTTAATTTTTGAATATTAATTGAATTAACTCAGAAGTTCATCCTGGAGAATAAATGACTGAAAAAAATGAGCCTTTTGAAAACAACACTGATGAGGGGGTGCCTGTCCTAGTAGATATGAAATATTAGTATAATTAAAAATGTTGTCCTGGGATAGTACAGATGATAGGCAGAGACACAGATAGAAGAAGGTATTCCTGGCCAGTCTTTAGTCTTTACCCCACAGCCTTCAATGCAAACCACTGCAATCTCCTTAACTCACTTTTCTTTGGCTTATATCACTTAGTACAGCCCAGGCCCTACTGCTGTTTCGGTTTCCTTATGCTGCTTTCCTTTGATTCTACTGCTTCTTGTTTCCTAAACATGGGAAGGTTCAATGCTTGTCTCTCCCTACTTTTTATTTTGAAAATTTTATCATTAGGATATTTTGCTTATTCTTAATTGTTTTCAGATCTCTTTGTTATGTTGATAACTCTCAAGTCCCCCTTTTCAGTGGCTGGATAGGGAAATACAGATTACCAGAGTTGTACATGGTAAGGACACCCAGCCCAACTGTGGGAAGAATGAGCTGTGCTTCTTGAAGGAAGTTGTATCCATGTTGGGTTCTGAAGGATAAATATGCATTGGTCCAGTGAGGGGTGGGTTCCCTCTGCCTAGAATAGTGTTCCAGGCAGAGGGAACAAGCTGTGGAAAGGTTCATACGCCTTTGTATCTGGGGCCAGCAAACCATAGCCCATGAGCCTTAACCACCTGCTGCTGTTAATAAGGTTTGATTGGAACACAGCCATACTTACTTACGTATTATCTTTGGCTCCTTTTGTGATACAAAGGCAGAGTTAAGAAGTTGTAGCAGAGACCATCTGGTCCACATAGTACTTACCATCTGGCTTTTTAAGAAAAAGTTTGCCAATCCCTGCTTTTCATGATGTATAAGAGGAGATGCCAGAAGTACTATAATTTTAGGAGCTATATTGCTTAAAATACTCTGATTTCTTTTCCAAAGAAACACCTACACCTCAGAGGAAAGGCCTTCGATCAAGTGCATTACGGCCGAAGAGACCAGAAACGCCCAAGCAAACTGGCCCTGTTATTATTGAAACTTGGGTAGCAGAGGAAGAGCTGGAATTATGGGAGATCAGGGCGTTTGCTGAGAGGTAAGGAAATGGCTAATATGGTATCAGATATTTGAAGATTTTATCACTTCAGAATTAAAGAATTACCCCCTTAATAGTTTATTCAATGTGTCCTGATGTTATTCTACCTTTTGATTTCAAGTACTAGCAGTATATAATTTATTAAGATCCTGGTTTTAATTTTATTTACTTGTGAGTTTCCAGTTATCTTAATTTAAGTGTGTTATTTTTAAATCAAAATAATTTGATACTTCTTTATGATGTAAAAGTCAACCAGATTTCACTTAATATTAGATGCCAGGTGCCTAATAAGGTAGTTTCTGATAAGTTCTCCTTTTTTTCCTGCAGAGTGGAGAAAGAAAAGGCACAAGCAGTTGAGCAACAAGCTAAGGTTAGTGAACAGAAGAAGGCACAGGACTTCAAGGCCCAAATGGAGGCTCACCTCAAACAGCAGCGATTGGCTGCCCAGCAGGTGGGGGAGTTGGTACCAGTCCCACCTGGCAATGAATTGACATTTTTAGCCAATTTCATGCATACTGAAAGCACAGTAATGATATATTTATATAGCTATTTTTTAAGGGTATCTCAAATATATCTTAATTTCATTACTTTAAAGTAGCTCTGTGGCTACATCAAGCAGTAGTTTTGCAAAAAGTATACATATTTGGAGTACAATGTTTGAAATAAGATTTATTTATTATCTTTATAATTTAGTGGATAGTTTCTAAAGGAATTTTTTTCCAGCAGAATTCCAATCCATAAAATCTCTTTATTCTATGAAAAGCAAATTGTACTAAAATTCTGAGTTTGTTGTAATTGATGACCATAAAACTATGGAAATGGTAAGAAACCATTGTCTGAATATTAGGGACCAACATAAAAATGATTGCCTCTTTTTTCTATTAAGGAGGTACTATAAAACGTTTTAGTAAACTGGATATATAAGCTTTAAAGATGCAAATGAAATAGATACATGTCTATTTATAATATCATTAACTTAAGTTACATATAACTTAAAATAATTATATTTTGTATAAACTAGCTCTTTATTCCAAACTACCTTTTCCCTCTCACATTTTAGAAAACATTTTTTCAAATTCTTAGGTATCTTTTACATCAGTTTAGTGTAGGTCATTATCTTCACTTACATCAAAGTTTGAGATAATAGCACTTTTGGATTCTGTTCATTCATAGAAAAACTGGCTGGTTGTTTTGTTTTGTTTGTGGGTTTTTTGTGGGGGTTTTTTCATTTTATGCATGTCTTGTCATCTCCACAATGTAACCTTAATGATTTATTCTTAAAATTTCTTTAACATCCTTATTTACAAAGATAGTGAACATAGCTAATTTTGAAGATTTAGCCTCAGGAAGTAATTTCTCGATATGTATTTAGTCTTTTTTGCCTCCTTTTTTTATTGATTCAATCAGATGATATGTCTAAATATCCAAAACTAAAACTCCTTTTCTTCTGATGAAATTATGTGAAATACATTATATTCAGGCATAGAGGATGTAGTCCTAAGAAGAGTGCGTGTGATGTCATTGGTGAGTGGTTTCCAATGGCAGGAGATAGTTCAGAATTGCATCTCAGCACTACCATTAACTAGCTCTGGCCTTGAGCCAGTTTCACAGCCTCTCTGAGTCTCAGTTTCCTCATCTTTAAATCACAATACCAGCAACGTTATTGAGTTGGTCTGAGCATTTAATGAAGGTAAAGTATCCGCCGCCAGGTTTGTAATCCATGCCACCTATTCTATATAATAAAAGCCTAATATGCTGTGTCTGGCTGTTCATTAGACCAGTCACTATGATGCACACTGACCACCAGGAGGTAGATGCTCTGACCAGTAGGTTAGCTTGCTGCTGGGGTCCAGCCGATCAGGTCTGGGCGAGATAGGCCGGACATGCCTTGGAGCCCTCCTGCGGTTCTTCCCCACCCCATCATGTACCGGTGAGTTCCCTCAGCCTGGCCTCTGCACTCTCGCAATCCGGGACCCCTTAGGGGATGTGGGAGAGCCAGTTTCGACCCGATCCCTGTAGGCCAGGCCAAGGGACCCCACCAGTGCATGAATCCGTGCACCCGGCCACTAGTGTTTTTGTTTGTTTTTTTAATATATATTTTATTGATTTTTCACAGAGAGGAAGGGAGAGGGATAGAGAGTTAGAAACATTGATGAGAGAGAAACATCGATCAGCTGCCTCCTGCACACATCCTACTGGGGATGTGCCCGCAACCAAGGTACATGCCCTTAGCTGGAATCGAACCTGGGACCTTTCACTCCGCAGGCCAATGCTCTATCCACTGAGTCAAACCAATTAGGGCTAGTTATTTTATATGTGTAAGCTTACCACCATCTAGTTTGTAAGCTGTCAGGAAATGTCATCAATCTATGATAAAATGTACACAAATTGTCTTTAATGACTAATATCTGAAAGATCAGATTATACCAATCTATATAGAATAGTCTAAAGTATTTTTCTGTAAAAGTATTTGAACTCAAAAATAATCTAGAAAAATTGTTTTATAATTTTTAGCTTGCTTAATTGCAGGTTTGTCCTTGTGAATAGTGATGTTTGAACATTGACATGTTTTTTTATGATTGGATAAATTAACATTATGGTAAACCAGAAACCTTTTACACTTAGTATTATTTGTTATCCTCTCTAAATAACCACTGCTGAGCAGCATTTCTATGTCTGGTAAAATTACCCATGTCTCTTATTTTCACTCCGAAAGCTTGGATATTTGTATAAGCTGAAAAAACTTGATAGTGTTTAATTTTTTGTTATGAAAAACTACTTTTAATAAAATATATGTGACTTAGAGTAATAAAAATATTTTAATCAAGGAATTAAATTCCAGGTAAATTTATATGGGCATATTTTCAAAAGTAAAATATTTTTGAAATATGGTACAGTTTCTTAGATTGGGAGAAATTATAGGTGGACTTCTTGCAGAGTAGTATTGTTTTTACTTAGAACTATTTTGGTTCATGTTTTCTCTCCCTGACTTTTCCAGAAACGGTTGGAACAGCAGAAGCCTACAGTAATTTCAGCTTCCACAACTTCCCCAACAAACAATACGACTAGTACCATCTCTCCAGCACAGAAAGTTATGGTGGCCCCTTTAAGTGGTTCAGTTACAACTGGAACTAAAATGGTACTAACCACTAAAGTTGGATCTCCAGCTACAGTAACATTCCAGCAGAACAAGAACTTCCATCAGACCTTTGCTACATGGGTTAAGCAAGGCCAGTCAAATTCAGGTACACAACTGCGATTAAATAAAAGATTGATTTCATTCAAGAATACTGAAATGAAACATTTCTTTAGAAATTATTTTTCTTCAGCAGATTGAGCAAACAAGCTGTAGCCGTTAGTTTGATACAGATAATATCCATAATATTACATTAGCAAAACTCCTCTCTTACATTATTTCACTTTCAACATTTACATAGTTCACTCTGAGTGGAGAGGAATTTTTTTTTTTTAATACAAAATGAACCACAGTTCATGCATTGGTGCCCTTCCTAGAAGTCACTACGTTGCTGGTTATTTTAAATGTAAAGCTTATTAAATGTCTTATACCCTATTAGCCACCAGTACAGCTGCCACATCTGCTACAACCATTGCCAGCACAGGTCAGACGTTCCAAATTACAGGCAATCCAGTCACTATGGCAGGAAAAGTAATTACCAAACTGCCACTTCCTGCAAACAGCAAGATTGTCGCTGTAAATGTGCCAGCAACACAAGGAGGTAAGGGAAATGTGAAGAGTTTTAATTCACATTTGCCAGATCATACCGTTGCCATCATTTTTCATTTCCTTTTCACTGATTTCAGTCCTCGGATCTCACATTCTGTGTAGCCCACTGTAAAATCCTACCACACATAGTTTCTCCCCAGAAACTGAGCAACAGCTGATGCTTTTTGTTAAAGGGGCACTTTTTAATTACTTTATCTTTTTTTAAGGCGTTGTTCAAGTACAGCAAAAAGTCCTGGGTATCATTCCATCAAGTACAGGTACAAGTCAGCAAACCTTTACTTCATTCCAGCCCAGGACAGCAACAGTCACAATTAGGCCCAATACCACAGCCTCTGGAGGAACCACAAGCACTTCACAAGTAAGAATTCTCTATCTTGCTTTGAAATATTACTGACATCAGGCTTTTAGAATGGACTTTTCCACAATTAATCCAGCTTCTAATTTTTCTCTACCTTTTACTTAACCTGTGACAAAGTACTGATTTAAAAAAATATTGGTTATCTTTCTAAGTAAAAACGATACATGACAAGCTTTATATTTAACATATACCTAATAGTATGTTAGAATTGTTTATGAATCATAAGAATTGCTTTCTAAGATTTTATAAAGAAATCCTAGACCATATATAAAATATTCGTCAGCAGTGGGCCAGACCAAAGGAAACTTGCTATGCAGCTAGGAAACGGAATGAAAAATACAGTCTACAGCACACTAACTAGTTTGTAATCAGCTGCTATGCACACGTGTTAGAGACATCATTTCTTTGGCACTAGTAACGTGAAAAAGGTTTGAATTTTTGCAGACTTGAAAATGTTCTGATTCTAGCTATAAAACTGAAAATAACATGCTCTGTGCTCTCTCCTTTAAAACTATAAAAGAACATTTGGTTTGTGATTTTACTCTTATATTCCCTGGATTACAGGTAGGGATTGGAGCTCAGGGAAAATAGAATGCAAATTTTTTCTGTGAGCAACTATGGTGGTTATAGATTAGAACCTCACTGGGTCTTCTTGTTCCGTCCTTATAGCCATTGGCCTGTTCTTGATATAATGACAAGGAATTTCATATGATCTCATTTGAATTCAATTTTCTGCCCTTAAAATTCCATCTTTATTCTGATGCTTAGTATAATTTAAAATGTGGTATCCAAGAGCCTCTGTCATTTCTATAGATTTGTTTATTAATAGACAGTATTTAAAGATCGTGTTCTAAGTCCATCATGCTTTTGTCTTTTAAGGACATTTTAACTTATTGTCTTTTGTGTCATTTATAGGTAATCACAGGGCCTCAGATCCGCCCTGGTATGACGGTGATTAGAACACCACTCCAACAGTCAACACTAGGAAAGACAATTATTCGAACACCTGTGGTGGTACAGCCAGGTACTCATCCATGCAGTATTACCATTTTACTTCTAAACAACCAGTCCATTAAATCAGTAATAATCTGTATTTGGTACTCTTTATACTAGAAAATACAAATTTGAATTAAGACTTCAAAGCATACTAAGTTTCTAATGTATCATAGTATGCATTTAAATAGAATATATAGGGTATCCCAAAAAGTGTATACACACTTTAGCAATTGCTAACTCAATTTTGAAAATGAAATGTATTTTAATAAACACTGCCTTTATAATTACTCAAAGTGTGTGTATACATTTTGGGGGACATCTTATATACATTAAAATATTGGAGCAGAGAATGAGCACAGAAAACACTGTATGTCAAAAGATGGAGATAAAATCAAGAAAACAGCTGATGCCCTAGCCCAGTGGTTGGCAAACTCATTAGTCAACAGAGCCAAATATCAACAGTACAACGATTGAAATTTCTTTTGAGAGCCAAATTTTTAAAACTTAAACTGTATAGGTAGGTACATTCTTATTAACTTAATTAGGGTACTCCTAAGGCTTAGGAAGAGCCAAAAAGCCGCATGTGGCTCGAGAGCCGCATTTTGCCGACCACAGCCCTAGCCAGTTTGGCTCAGTGGATAGATCGTTGGTCTGCAGACCAAAGGGTCCCAGGTTTGATTCCGGTCAAGAACACATACCTTGCTTGCAGGCTCCTCCCCGGCCTGGGCCCTGACTCTCCCACATCGATGTTTTTCTGTTTTTCCCTCTCTTCCACTCCTCCCTAAAAATCAATGGAAAAATATCCTCAGGTGAGGATTAACAAACAAAAGAAAAATAAAATAGCTAAGAAGCATTTAAATGGAAAGCATAAAGCAAGATTATAAAGGTAGTGCCAGCCCGTCATTAATGTGAACAGGCTGAAGCTCCCATATTAAAATTTGAAGAATTTAAAGACTGAGTGAAGCCTGACTGGCGTGGCTCAGTGGTTGAGCGTCGACCTAAGAACCAGGAGGTCATGGTTTGATTCCCGGTCAGGGCACATGCCCAGGTTGCAAGCTCGATCCCCAGTGTGGGACACACAAGAGGTAGCCGATCAATGATTCTCTCTCATCATTCATGTTTATCTCTCTCTCTCCCCCTCTCCCTTCCTCTCTAAAACCAATAAAAATATATTAAAAAAAATAAAGACTGAGTGAAAAAAAATCCAACTGTACATTTTTGAGAAACATAAGTAAAATTAAGTTACACACAAAATGTTAAAGATGGACAAAGAAATAGAAAGAGGACCAGTGAGGAGGACAAGGACAGTCTAACTAATAGTGGACAGAGTAGAATTCACTGTTTTTTAAAAGACTCTACATAGGGAAAAGAGGGTCATTTCCTATTGGCTTAAGTATAAAGGTTGCAATGAACATGTAATCTTGGATCTTTATGAACTAAATAAGATTATCACTGAAATGTTTTAAAAATTTTTTTTTGAAATCAAGGAGGGAGTAACAGAAGCATAGGAGACCAGAAACAGATTGTGTATCAACTTTTGTACTTTCAGGAATACACATTGGTTTTAAATATTTATGGACAATTTATATAAAAATGGTCGTATAATGTGTCATGGGTCAAACCTTGATGAATTCTAAAAAGTAGAATGTTTATAGGCCACATTCTTTGTAATAAAACTCAATATTACTATTTAGGTATTATAGTAATAACCTTTACTTGTAAATTTAAAAGTATGTGTTCTCGTAAGTAACTTTTAAGTTAAAGAAACATCAAATGTGTAATTTCAAACAGATTATCAAGTATCAGCTAAGCTATGCTGCCAAAGCTGAATTCAGAGGCAAATTTATTCTTTAACAAATGCTTGAGCACTTACTCTAGGTCAGTGGTCAGCAAACTCATTAGTCAACAGAACCAAATATCAATAGTACAATGATTGAAATTTCTTTTGAGAGCCAAATTTTTTAAACTTAAACTATATAGGTAGGTACATTGTTATTAACTTAATTAGGGTACTCCTAAGCTGGCCTTTGCTAAAAACGTCCTCAGTCTGATTGAGGTACATTCGCTGAGGTCGACCCATTCCAACTCTCCCATCCACACTTCAAAATAGACTCGCCCAGGCCGAAAACCGACTTCTGCGCATGGGCCACGAAGTTTCAATCACACTGTACGTGCGTGCCCGCACGTGGTATTTTATGGAAGAGCCACACTCAAGGGGCCAAAGAGCCGCATGTGGCTTGCGAGCCGCGGTTTGCCAACCACTGCTCTAGGTAATTATATTGGTGAACAAAACAGACAAAAAACCCCATATTCTTAAATCTTAGAAAAATATTTAAAACAAATCTTAAATGAAAACAGGATGGAGGAAGTAAAATAAAAGTACTAATATAATTAGAAAGCAGAAAATGCAAATATTATTAAAACAAGACAAAGTTAAAAGAGAATTATATACAGGTATCCTAGAGTTTCATTGTTCAATAAAATGGGCACTCAGTTATGGTGAGAGTATGATTGATATAACCTTTCTAAAATTTAATTTACTACTATGTTCTTCTTATGAACCTAGTAACTTTGGGGGGGGGGGTTATTCTAAGGCAATAATTAGAAGCACATTAAAATTGATAAGCAAGAATTTCACCATGGATTTATTTTAAGTGTGTGTGTGTATTCTAAATGTCAAAATACGTCCAATTTTATACATTATATTGAACACCAGCGTTTAAAAGAAAAATACACAGAAATAATGCATTCACAGAAGGAAGAAAGGAAGTGAATATAAAACTTCAAAAATGTGATATTATTCACTGAATGTAAAATTAGCTCCCAAATAATTACTTTTAGCAACTATTCCACTGGGTCGAAAAATCCCACCTGCCTTTTCTTCCAGTTTTAGCAAGTTAAATAAGAAATGGAAGTTGTTAGAAGTTTGGAAGAGCCATTCCAATTAAACTTTATTCATGCTTAGATTTTTTTACTGAACAATAACTATGGTAGCATTTTTTGAGTACTTTGTCTGAGTACAAGCATACCTCAGAGATACTATGGGTTTGGTCCCAGGACATTACAATAAAACAAATATTGCAATAAAGCAAGTTGTAATCTTTTTGCTGGTTGAGGGTATTGCCTTCTGTTTGTTTTTTTAAAAAAAGGTAGCATCTGTAAAGTGCATTAAAGCAAAGCCCAATAAAACAAGGTATGGATTAGTAAGGATATAGTGATCCTTCCCCTCCTGCTTTTCTTACCTGGCACATAGCTGTAAGAAAAGCTTATTAATAATTGACCCAGAATGTTCTAGATTCTGTATGTTTTTGTTTAAAATTCATATGAATTATTTTTATATTCAATTATTTTTAATGTTATATTCCTAAGGAAAGACAGTCTTATAAATGGCATATCTTACGTATTTTTCTCTGTCCTCCCTATTATCATTTTGGCTTTGGATATGCAGGAAGAATATTCATTGTTTTTTTCACTATAGATAGCAGAAACTGAAGAATGGTTGTCAGTGATGTGATTGAAAACATGGTCACTGACAAGGTGTATCCTTTGGACTTGGGTATATGTCTGAAAGCATGCTTGAGCTGTCAGCATCCCATAAGTCTTTTTTGGAAACTGAAAAGAATACATTCATCTGAAGTGTTGAACTATTTCAATTAAAAGTGCTGGTAAGGACATATAAGTATTCGTGATGTTTTGCTATTTGCCTAGGTACTCCTCAACAAGTGGTGACTCAGATCATCAGAGGGCAGCCTGTTTCCACTGCAATCTCTGCCCCTAATGCAGTTTCCTCAACACCTGGGCAGAAAGGGTTAACTTCAGGAACATCCAGTGCAAATCTGCAGTCTTCAACTTCACCATCCCCTCGCCCTCAACAAGGACAGGTGAAGCTTACCATGGCTCAGCTCACTCAGTTAACACAGGGCCACGTAAGTAACGCGACTTCATTTTAACTTTAGAGATGATCATATTTATCCCTGTAAGTTTAAAAGAATGTACTTACTTTCAGTAACTAAAAAACGTACTTATTTTAAGAAATAGTAGCTTGCCATTTTTGTTGTGGTTAATCCTCACCCAAGGATATTTTTTCCATTGATTTTTAAAGAAAGTAGGAGGGAGGAAGGAGGGAGAGAGAGAAGGAGAGCGAGAAACATCGATGTGAGAGAGACACATTGATTGGTTGCCTCTGGCACGCGCCCCAACTGGGGTTGGTGATCGAGCCTTCAACTGAGATGCATGCCCTTGACCAGAATCTTCTGGCTATCCATTTGAAACTCAGATTGTTAATTCATAGTTTTTCCAATAAACAGCATCAGTGTTTTTGTCTGATTGGTCTGCTTATAGGGAAGGAGAGAGGGAGGGAGGGAGGGAGAGAGAGGGTGAGAGAGAAACATTAACATGAGAGAAATAGCGATTGGTTGCCTTCTGTATGTGCCCCAACCAGGGATCGAACCACAACCCAGGCATGTTGCCTGACTGGGAATTGAATCGGCAACCTTTCGTTGCACAGGAACTACTTAACCAAGTGAGCCACTCAGTCCAGGCAGCGTCTGTCTTTTTAAATAAATATTTTTATTTTAGCTTATCTGAATTCCTTCTGCCATTCAGTAGACATTCAAAGACATATTTTCATTATAGGATAGTATCTTTTTAACATTAAAAAGGTATACTTACAGGTTGATGCTTTAAATACTATTTACATATTGTGTGTTTTTTCCATAGGGTGGCAATCAAGGTTTGACAGTAGTAATTCAAGGACAAGGTCAAACTACTGGGCAGTTGCAGTTGATACCTCAAGGGGTGACTATACTTCCAGGTCCAGGACAGCAGTTGATGCAAGCTGCAATGCCAAATGGTACTGTTCAGCGGTTCCTCTTTACCCCATTGGCAACAACAGCCACAGCAGCCAGCACCACCACCACCACCACTGTTTCCACCACAGCAGCAGGTAGAACTTGGGGGTTATCAGACGTACTGTGTGTTATTACCACAAGTTGCTGGGCTAACAAAGGGGACAAGAGACCAGCGCTTATCTTTGGGAGAATAAACCACAAGCCAGTAGCGTAACAGTTGACTGGTCAGCCTCACAAGATCTCAACAAGATCTCTTATTACAGACTCCTGTCACCTTCACCCCTCAAAATATATAGAAAGGGAGGTGAGGGTCTGGATAGCATGTTAACTATGCCCCCATTCCTTTCCAAGCCTTATGGGCACTGATTAAATAATGGAGTTAATCTCAGGGCAGGTGGATATATCCAGCTCATAACCTACAAGTGAGAGCTGCAGGTCCAAAGCCCCTTTGTTTGTCTTCTGCAAGTAGCCGTCATTAACTGCCACCACGCTTAGGAGGAAAATGAGGGTTAGCATTCGCCTGGGCCAAAAGACCTGGCTGGTTTCCAAAGACTGCACCTCACTTTGGAAGTGAGCTTTCTGGGGAGTCAGCAAAATGTGCAGAGGGTGGCCATCAGATAGGGCCCATGCTCCCCAATTTAAAAGAGCTCTAACCCAAGTGTGTCTCAATGAGCCTTTCTAAGGCATTGTTCTTCTATACTGAAATTCAGAATTCTCACCTTTAGAAAATCCTTCAAATTCTTCTTTACCTTGGTCTTATATTCTAGAGCAGCTGTCGCCAACCGGTGGTCCGCGAGGTCTGAAAGGTTGGCGACCACTGTTCTAGAGTAATATAATTATTTGGTCTTTCTTATTCACAGGTACAGGTGAACAAAGACAGAGTAAATTGTCACCCTCAACACAGGTGCAACAAGCCAAATCCCTGCCACCAGCTCAGTCATCCAGTGTGAGTCCTCCAGAGTCCCAGCCACAGACTGCTCAGCCTTCAGCTCAGCCTCAGCCCCAAACTCAGCCCCAGTCCCCAGCTCAGCCTGAAGTTCAGACTCAGCCTGAAGTTCAGACCCAAACAACTGTTGCATCCCATGTCCCTTTGGAAGCACAACCCACCCAAGCTCAGTCATCCAAACCCCAAGTTGCAGTACAGTGTCAGCCTCAAAGTATTGTCCAAGGACAGCCGCCTGCTCGCGTCCAAAGTCCACCACAGACTCGAATACGTCCATCAACTCCATCCCAGGTGTCTCCTGGACAGCAATCCCAGGTTCAGACTACAACTTCACAACCGATTCCAATTCAGCCACATACATCTCTTCAGATACCTTCCCAGGGCCAGCCACAATCACAACCCCAGGTACAGTCTTCACCTCAAACTCTTTCATCGGGACAAACGTTAAGTCAAGTTACTGTTTCATCCCCATCCTGTCCTCAGCTACAAATACAGCAGCCACAGCCCCAAGTCATTGCTGTGCCTCAGCTGCAACAACAAGTCCAGGTTCTCTCTCAGATCCAGTCGCAGGTTGTGGCTCAGATACAGGCTCAGCAAGGTGTTGTGCCCCAGCAAATCAAACTCCAGTTACCTATTCAAATTCAGCAAAGCAGCCCTGTGCAGACTCACCAGATTCAGAATGTGGTTACAGTGCAGGCAGCCAGTGTGCAAGAGCAGTTGCAAAGGGTTCAGCAACTCAGGGATCAGCAGCAAAAGAAGAAACAGCAACAGATAGAGATTAAGCGGGAACACACCCTCCAAGCATCTAATCAAAGTGAAATCATTCAGAAACAGGTAAAGTTATTAAGTAAAAGCAGCATGTTCAGTAGTTTGAATTATTGTGCTGTGCATTAGATTTAGTGTTTGGTTGTGTTAGGTTTCCTAAATGAGACAAATTCACTGATGTTTCAATTTAGAAGCAATACTGGTGTGACCAAAATCTTGAATTACTACTATGGTTTGGAACTTTTTTGTTGGCAGTAGTCAGTGCTTATTAGAAAAATGACCAGCATTTTTGGAGAACTAAGATGGGAAGAATGGAGTTAGGAGTTGAAGTATCATTAATACAGAACTGGAAGGTGTGACTGAAATTTTAAAGCCACTTCAGGCATCATAGCAATTGTTTGAAGTTGTTTACAGTTGTCATCCCTTAGTTTGCATGTTCATGTAGACCAAGCAAATTATAGACCCATTTCACTCATTTGCATTTCTAGCCACACCTTTGTAAATTTTAACTACTATTATTCCATAGCTTACATATAAAGTGGCATTATGCAGTAGCATCTTAGTGAACTAAGGCAACTTAGATGAGTAAGAATTATTCTACTTAAAATGAAGTCACATTGTAACATCTTGTAGCATTACTGGAAAATGTTTCTTTACGTCTACAGCATGCGCTGCCTGGTACTAGTGTGGATTTCAAGTGTTTCCATGTCTTGAGACTTGCATTCTGTTCCTGGGTCTCCCATTCACAGCCCCTGAAACTCACTTATCTCCTCTGAGCTATATCCTTACTAAAATTCCCTCTTTCCAGCCACCCAAGGTCATTGTAATGATTAACTGAGGTCATGTATGTAGAAGCACTTTTATTTTTTCATTGAAATATATTTGACATATAGCATTGTGCAAGTTTAAGGTGTATAACCTGTTGGTTTGATAACATTTACATATTGTAATATTGCTGTTGTAACATAAGCACCTCTATCATGTCACGTAATTGCTTTGTTTTAGTGGTTGGAATAATTAATATTTAGTCTCTTAGCAACTTTGATGATTATATCATTAAAAGAGAAGCACTTCTAAACAGATTTTAAAGATCTATGGTAATAGAATTGTAAAATTGACATCATATGTAATATGTTTAAATGCATTATCACCCAGCTCTTAGTACTGTATAGTTTATAAATTGAGAATTATGTATCACAATATCTGCCTTTACCCTAATCTCTTTAGCCCATCTGTGGGATGGGGGTGGGAGGACTCTTTACAATTAATGCCTGGAAAGAGCATAATGTTGAAAACATGGCCTTTGGAAAATGATTGCTGGGCTAGAATTACAGCCATATTCCTTATTTTGTCTCAGGATCTCTTTGTAAAATTATTCCTACCTTTCCATGTTATGAGGAATAAGTGAGGCAATGTCAAGTGCTTGCCTTAGCACAGGGCCTGGTACGTGGTAAGCATCCAGACCATATAGCTCTGATTTTATTTGTAGTATTATGATAGAAAATTCTTAGTTTCTTTGGGAAACACATAGTTGCGCTCAGATTTCTACTATTTATGTACCAACTTGTAGTCGTTATAAAATATGCACTTTTGGATTTTTTTTCTGTCCTGAAGGTGGTGATGAAGCATAATGCTGTAATAGAACATTTAAAACAGAAAAAGACCATGACTCCAGCTGAAAGAGAGGAGAATCAAAGGTAGGGAGAGATGGTAACAGGGTCTCATTGTATGTCAGTCTCTTCCCTTTTGTATCTGGACACACAGGTTCTGAATTTATAGTTTTTTTGTTTGTTTTTTTTGTATGTGTTTTTGTTAATCCTCACCTGAAAATATTTTAGAGAGAGTGGAAGGGAGGGGCAGAAACAGAGAGAAAGAAGCATCAATGTGAGAGAGACACATCGATTGCTTGCCTCCCGCACTCGCCCCCACCAGGGCCAGGGATCAAGGCTGCAACCAAGGCACGTGCCCTTGACTGGAATTGAACCGGCAACCCTTTAATCCTCAGGCCGATGCTCTATCCACTGAGCCCAAATGGCTAGGGCTGATGGCTAGGGCTGAGTTTATAGTTTTTAATCTTGACTGAAGTTTACTGAAATACTGAAATACTGAAAAAGAACTAATAGGTTCTCAATGCTAGTTTGAATCACTCTTTGGAGCTTTCCATTTACTCAGAGTTTGTGTATCACCTGTAGAGACATCAAAAATCTTGTCTTAAGCCTTTCAGAATAAAATGCCCAGCATTACATAGGTTGGTTGTGTATTTCTCTCTAGAATGATTGTCTGTAACCAGGTGATGAAGTATATTTTGGATAAGATAGATAAAGAAGAAACGGAAGCGTGAAGAGAGTGTGGAACAGAAACGTAGCAAGCAGAATGCTACCAAGCTCTCTGCACTGCTCTTCAAACACAAAGAGCAGCTCAAAGCAGAAATACTGAAAAAGAGAGCTCTTTTGGACAAAGACCTACAAATTGAAGTGCAGGTAAGAAGGTTATTTCCTTTCCTCCTCTGTCCAGTTTTTAGCATCTACTTTTTATTCTTTCTTCAAATTTTGGTTAAGCTTAAAATTTTATCTTGTTTTCTAGAATTTACAGTTTTGTATATTTAATACAAAGCTGTGAGGCATGTCTTAGAGATTTTTATATGTACATGTATATTGTAATCTCTAAACTAGACACTCTAAGAGGTTAGTAGTCTGTTGGCTAAAACATTTGAGAAGTCTCTTGGGAATAGTTTTTATTCTCTATGACATCGTCTTGCCAGAAGTTATCAGGAGCCAAGTTTCATGAGAGAGGTAAACGGAAAAACTGTGAAATAATGTTGAAAGAATGAAAAATAAAGTGTGCCCATTAAATAAGACCATATTTCTTCCTTGATTTGTAAACTGATCCAGGAGGCATTGCAGATTCTCTGCTTACTTGGGGAATTTATTGAAAAATGAAAGAAAACATCTATTCATACATATCTAAGCAGCTTTTTAAAAGAAAAGTAGGCTATATAAAACATCAAAAGTGCCTTTATTATTTAAGGTGAGAAATATTAAAATATTGATCAGCCAAAAAATCAACATAACTCTGAGACATTAGAGCTCTTCCCACTAATGTCAGAAACCAGATGACAGTGCCAAAATTCAACATTATTATTTTAACATTTCTGGAAATTCTAGTTAAGATGTTAAGCCAAGAAAAGAAAAAAGATAAAGTTATTTTGTATGATACAATTATTATCTCAAAACCCCCAAAAAGAAAAAGAATTAAAATTTATGAGAGAATTCACTAAGGTACTCAATAAATATCATGATTACAACCATTGTTGAGATGTAATAAGCAAAAGAGCCAACTCACAGAAGCAACAGAATATATAATATACTACCTCCCACTTTAAGATCTATTTCATAGATCTAATTTTTAGTGTAAAAATGGAAATCACAAAAGTAACTGAATAAAACATGATTGTCATTTTTTGTAATCTCAGTGTAGGAAAAATCACTCCTAAACATTTCAGATTTCAAATACCACAAAGGAGAAAAATAGATTTGATGACATAGAAAAATTTTATTTGGGCAGGGAAATACCATAAACAGCATTGTAAAACAGTTAACAGGAAAAAAATTTGTGACATTTATGTCAGAATTAGTATTCCTAAAATTTAAAGAGCTCTTAAGTCAATAAGAAAAAGATAACACTAATTAACTATATGAGGGGAATTCTTTCACAGTATACATGTAAATCGAAATACTACAATGTACACTTTAAATATTTTATAATTTTGTAAGTTATACCTCAGTAAAGCTGAAATTTAAAAACACTCTAGTAGAAGATTTTTAAGACACATAAATAAGCAGTTTTTTAATCTAACAATGTCAAATATCAATAAACAAAATGATATTCAACCTAATAATGAAAATACTATTTTTCTAGAGAAAATACCATGTACTTCTAGAGAACATTTCATTGGTATGTATAAAAAGACTAAAATGTGAATACTCTTTAATCCATAATTTTACTTGTAGAACCATCTGAGAAATAACGAGGCAAGATACACGAGCAAGGACATAATGAATATTAACCATAACAATAATCTGGAATCGGCCCAGAGTCCACAAAGAAGAGATTGGTTATCAGTGTTTCTCAACAGGAGCACTTTGGGCCCTTTCAACAGGCCAGTTTTTTACACTCTGTAGGAAGTTTAGCACTGGGTTCCAAATGCTAGTAGCTTTCCCTTCTTTGTAACCAGCACAAGAGTGACCTTGTCCCCTCTCCATACATACTCAAACACCTCCAGGGTACCCTTACCACCCTCAGTTGAGAACCACTGTATTAAATGTGTTTTGGAGTGTCCTCACAATGGTCAGTGTAGGATTAGTGCTTTTTGGTTTTTAATTCTTTGGGGAAATCCTCATAAATATCTGAATGAAAATGTAGGTTGCAGAATAGTATTTATAGTGTGATATGTCCATTCAGTTCATTCAACAAATATTTAACATTTGGGTGTTTCACATACTGCTCCTGCTCCCTATTCTGCACAAGGTAGGGAAATATTTATAATCTGTGTCCTTTATAAATGACTGAATGTAAGGAAAAACTTAAAATCTATATCCTTTATAAATGAGTGAATGAACGAATGAACGAACATATATACATTTAAATGTCTTTCAAAGCAATTACCTTTATCCAACAAGTAAAAATTATAAGTAAGTCCATACTGTCCTAAGAGTACCATTTTATTTATTTATTTTTAATGTGTTTTTATTGATTTCAGAGAGAGGAAGGAAGAGAGGGAGAGAGGCAGAGAAACATTAATGATAAGAATCATTGATCAACTGCCTCCTGCACGCCTCCTACTGGGGATCGAGCCCGCAACCCTGGCAGGTGCCTTGACCGGAATCAAACTGTGACCTCTTGGTTCATAGGACCACTGAGTAACACCGGCTAAGCAAAGATTACCATTTTTATTGTTTATTTATTTATTTTAATGAATTTTAAATATGTTTTTATTGATTTTTGATAGGGGGGGAGAGAGAGAGAAACATCAATGATGAGAAAGAATCATTGACCAACTACCTCCTGCACGCCCCCAACTGGGGATGGAGCAGACAACCCAGGCATGTGCCCTTGACCAGAACTGAACCTGGAACCCTTCAGTCCGCAGGCCGATGCTCTATCCACTGAGCCAAACCGGCTAGGGCCAAAGATTGCCATTTTAAAGTAATATTAGAATATACCTTGTTTATAATATTTGTATTCATATAAAACAGTCACACTGGACACAACATATATTGAACATTTTTCTACATTCACTATACTATGCAGCCATTTAAAAATGTTATTACTGTTGTAAATATTCTTTTGTACAGTTAATGGTGTTCTTTTTGACAGTGTATTATCTAATGAGGAAGAAAAATTATACTTTAAGAAAATCAGCATTATTTTAACTAGAATTTATTGCTAAGATAATTTGCTTTGAAGGACATCTTACAAAATACAGAAGCATCTTGTTACAGCATCATACAGAATAGTTTCTCTGCCTTAAAAATGTCCTGTGTTCCACCTTTTCATCCCTCCTTCATCCCCATCTGCTTGTCTTTTTGATAAAGTAATTTACTCATTTTGGAATAGAACTTTATATCTTCATTTGCCTCTGCAATTCTCAAACACATGTATTATAAACTTTTCATCAAATTGTCCTATAAAATTAATTTCAAAGGGAGTGAATGCAGATTTGGTTATTGATTTTGTTGGTAGTCTTCTTTCACATTACATGTTTTCATTTGGTTTGGCATTTGGTATTTTAAGTGATAAGGGTTTGGTTTGGTTTCCTCTCTTGAAGTCCACTGTAGCCGAGCCAACACTTAATATCAAACAGGGAGCCTGCTCGTTACCCACCTCACACGAAGCTCGAGTCCCCTTCTTCCTGTTCCTGTTGTGGGTTACCACTTCCTACTTCCAAATCTGGAGTTCAATAGGCCTGCAGTTCTAGCCCTGTTCATAGTTTTGTATTTCCGTTCCATGGAGACATTTATATTGTATTCAAGGATAGCTATGTCTTTTCAGTTTTCTCTTTTTTATACTTTACTACCATTGGTATGTTCTTTTTAAAAAAATATATTTTATTGGTTTTAGAGAGGAAGGGAGAGGGGGAGAGAGAGAGAGAGAAACATCAGTGATAAGAGAGAATCATTGATACGCTACCTCCTGCACGCCTCCCACCGGGGATTGAGCCCGTGACCCCTCAGAATTCAGGCCGATGCTCTATCCACTAAGCCAAACTGGCCAGGGCTCATTGGTATGTTCTTGACAGAGGAATCAAGGTGTGTACCCACTACACCGTCTTAACGATCTTGATTTTCCTGCAGTCATCTCGTTACATTTCATAAACCATGTTATTAAATTGAAACTCAAGATTTACTTTCATCCCTAGGGAAAAGTTCAGATTTTCTTTTTAAATAGAGAAGGGCTGTTGAATAGCCACAGAGCTTATCTTCTCGTTTACAAGACTATCTAGATACATGGAGAAAATAGATTTATTAAATGAAGACCATTCAGGTTTATTTGTTAGAATATTTGTGATGCTTAAAAGCTCAGTCATAACTATGTTTTATTTACACCAAGTTTGTTCATGGATACCAGTCCCAGTGGTTTTTCTAAGAGTAAGTTGTTATACTGGGTAGCAGAGGTGTGCCTGTAAAGTATTTCACATGAAAAAAAAAAAAAGGATTTTAATTTAAAGTGTTTTAATTAAGACACTCAAAAATCTGTAATAAGAAAATGCTCTCTCTGCAGCCTTAAATTCTAGACATAGCTGCATGAGAAACAAGGCAAATCCGTCTCTCATCCTGCTTTGGGCTGGTCAATTTGAATATCAATTCATGTTCAGTCTCACTCTAAGGACACAGAAGGAGAGTGGCCAGAAGAAAGCAGCCAGTGGGTGAGGACACTGGAAATCACATCCTGAGCCATGACTAAAATAACCAGGGCATGTGGGCCAGGGGAGGGGGTGTTCTTGTCAGACACGGCATCGTTCTGTCAGAGCGCCTTGGAGGATAACTAGCAGCTCTCTAGTTACTTCATCTTCCATTTCTAGTTGTTTTAATTGGGTTTAAGGTATAGTAAGAACATGGGTGTTTGGAATTATTGCAACTCCCTCACGTTAGGCTGAACTATGGAGCTATTTCGACAAGGGGGGTAATGTAACATCCTCTGGCCAATTTGTGCATTTACATAAGTCAAATGATACTCTTGTATTGTCTTTAATTGACAATAGGAAGAGCTCAAGAGAGACCTGAAAATTAAGAAAGAAAAAGAAATGGTGCAGGCCACTGCAGCAGCCACCACTCCCCCTGCAGCACCTCCTGCGCCGCCAGCCCCTCCGCCTTCGCCTCCACCTCCACCTCCACCTCCCCCGCAGCACTCGGGGCCCCAGGCCACAGCCACGGCCACGGCCTCGCTGTCTGCAGCTTCTCAGAAGAGGAAGCGAGAAGAGGAAAGAGACTCAAGCTCAAAGTCCAAGAAGAAGAAAATGATTTCTACTACCTCAAAGGAAACTAAGAAGGACACAAAGCTTTATTGTATCTGTAAAACGCCTTACGATGAATCTAAGTGAGTAGATCCTTTTGAGCTCTAGTTTATTTTCTTAAAGGTTAGCCGTTAATCTTCCAGTTTTGAAGGAAATGAATATACTGGTAGCAACATAAAGGAAAATAGTTAAAAGTAAGGGTAATAGTGTTTCATCTCTGATCTTGCACCTGATATTCTTAACTTTGACACTAGCAAATAAAAGTTTATTTCCCGTGTTCATGATTCGTGTTTGTCCTTCATATTCTTTTCTGTCAAAAACAAGCTTTCTGTTGCTCCTTGGCTTTCTCCTCTTCTCTCTGGATTAACTCCAATCAGTCCGTAGTGCTGTCTGGAGGAGGAGGGGTATGATTATTGCCGCCAGAGTTCAGAGTGTGCTTTCTGGAATCTGTTCACAACCCTCTACATCAGATTCTAGAGACTGAATCTGAATGGTGCAGGAGGTTTCAAGTTTGAGTGCCTTTGGTTTTTTTGTTGTTTAATTTAAGCAGTTATCTGTTTTTTTATATTGGAATGGTATAACAGTATTATTTTTGTCAAAGTTCCCACTTTCTTATTGGGGGAAAAGTCAGAGAAATAAAAAAAAGTGTTCCTTTTACCCATTCCTCAATTAAGACACTCAAAAATTTAATAAGAATGGCAGCTGGAAGCTGTTTTTGACAGTTATGAGATATTTGGTAATATATACGAGATTTTAGAGATGCTGATCTATTAATGTAATTTTATTTTTTTATCATTGTCTTTTAACTAAGTATTTAGCTTCCATTTTGAACATTTAAATGTAGGCCAGCTTTTAAAAGCCAAAATTAACCACAGTATTATTTTGTAGTACTGAAAAGTTTGATTGTGCTAAAAAATATGATCATTTAGAATTAGGAATGCTTAATGTCTACTTTAAGTGGATGCCTAATCAATTTCTAAATAAAGTTCTCTCTTTAATGATGTTTAAATTGCAACCTTGAAGCTGCCATGGTGGTGCTATTTAAATTATAATCTGCAAGTGCTAGATCAAAAGTTTATGTTGGTAAACTTAGCTGTGTGTTGAATTAAACACAGATCAGTTTAGGCATCTTCACTTTTCATTGTCTTACTTTATTGGAAATTATACATAATGTAAAAAGTGGAGCCCTATTAACTGATTTTTCCCTTAGTCTAATACAAGTGTGCCTCCCTTTAAGCAAAATATACTGAATGATTTGTAGAATAAAACAATATGATTTACAAAAAGATCTGCTTATGGAATTTCTTTAAATAAAAGTCTTCTTTGGCCTACTTAAAATATTAAGATCACAGAAATGTATTTTATGTAATATCTAAGTTGCATAAAATGAGGCACACGTGTACATGTGCTCATTGTATTGAGATTGCCTCATTATTTTGTGTATATTTCATATTTTTCAGTTTGTCATTATTAACATTTCAGTATACCAGGTTCATTCACTCCCTGTTTGAGTTTGGATGAGTTAGTGTTTTTTAAGGAGTATTTTGTAATCTTTCGTACCAAACTAGCTTGGTTTGGAAATCTAGTGAGAGTGACTAAAACCTGAAATACAAGTCCTGAGCTTATTTCCAGAACATACAGCCCACCATCTGGTGAAGGCAACACAAAAACACCTTGGTGGCCCCCTCCTGTGGCTGTGAAAATCCTGCGAAAGTCATAATTCCAAAAGAAGAAAGTTAGTGGTAATAGGATAAACCACACAACCATGTATTATTCCTTAACTTTATAAAGTTTGAAGCTTGAGTACATCTACTATTTCTCTAGGTAAATCGACCAAGAAATCCCTTGCTAGAACCAATGGTATCAGCAAGGCCAGTCTGGTTCCTTGTGATCCATATTAATTCTTCCTATGACTTTGATATGATGTTTCCTACCCAGTGCCTGTCAACATTTGTATATTTACACGTGTTTGTCATAGAGACACTTTTTATTTTGTTATTTGGGATCTTATTTTCAAAAGCCTTGATAACCCTGTATGTGATTAGCCCTCACACAGCCGTTATACACCCACACAGCCCCACCTTGCCAAATACTGTAGAACCTCTCGCTGTTTTGGATAACTGTCCATACACTCTGTACCGTGTACCAGGATTATAATTGGAGCAATTTCTTACAGTTAATTAACCTGGCCACTCCACATTACACATTGTATTGACTGAAAAACTGGCCCGTGTCATAATCTGTCACAGTTAGATTAAATTCCAACATTTATTTGGTAGAAATTGAATTACTACATGTACCTTTCTTACTTTTCTTCTTCATATCATATTTTGACCATTTATCTTCTACACCTGGCTGACCTGCATGTTCCTTGTAGCGTAACTTCTATTTGGTGTTTGCGCTTTGCTTTGTTTTCAAATTTAAATTGTGAGATACATTTTCAAACCTATCTAAGAAATAGCCCTGATTTTGAAATGGGTTCTGTGGCATAGGTTTGACAGATGTAAGTCTTTGATTCTTTGGCTTTGGTTTTTGTGCCTGTTACAGTTTTACACACATTCATTAAGAGGCAGACATTACCATCAGTGTGTTCTTTATTTTTTCAAATTCCAGTATGTTTTTAAAGACTCATATTTCACTAAACAGTGTATTTGTTGAATTTGATGTGAGTGACTTTATGTTTTCACACTTGATACAGTCAGATGCTGTAGTTTGCCAGGGATAGATGGTCGGATTCAGGATGTTTAGCTGACTCATTGCAGAAAGTTATCCTGTAAGAAAGTGAATCAAAGCAGGGAAGACAGATTTAAGTACCATGCAGCTCAAAATGACAATCACATTGTCATTTTCATTGTGAATACTTTTAGGTTCTATATTGGCTGTGATCTTTGTACTAACTGGTATCATGGAGAATGTGTTGGCATCACAGAAAAGGAGGCTAAGAAAATGGATGTGTACATCTGTAATGATTGTAAACGGGCACAAGAGGGCAGCAGTGAGGAATTGTACTGTATCTGCAGAACACCTTATGATGAGTCACAGTGAGTTCTGATAAGAGCATCATATTTAATAATTTAGGAAGCCAAATTGCTCTGTCTGGTTACTTATTTATTTTAAAATGAAAAGCAAGATATTTTCTGCATATATTATACACTTACATTACAAATTCCTTTCCATTTTTTTTCTCTTCTTCCCTCTTTACCTCCCCTTCAAAATTTATGTTGCTTCTTAGTGAATGTTTGAGATTCATTGGGAAAAATATGGCTTAATGGTAGACTTGATTATTCAATATGTAACATCGAAATTAATGAGATTAAAATAGCCTGCCTTGTTTGGACTTTATCAGTGTTTGAAATGGCGCTTTTTTGTGGGTTAGAAAAATACTAATTTGGATACAAGCTCTGAGACTCTGTTTTTAGCTTCCAGGATTTTGAACTCCCAGTTGGGTGGCCAATATCAGCTTCCCATTTGATATGGTATTTGTTGAAAGATTTTTGGCTTTATTTTGTTTTGAGCTTTAAAGACAATTAAAATGTTTTACATTTTTCTTCATATTGGTTCTCTAATATTATACATTGTTCTTAATAAATTTTTAATGCTTGTTTTTAACATCAGATACTAAATTAACACATAGGAATGTCAATCTTCAAAATTATTAAGACAATTATAATACTAAATCTGTTTTATATCCAAGGGTTAGAGTATTTTCAGATGCATGCATTATTACTTTTTAAAATAAATTTTAAGTAATATGATCCCATCTGTTTTGAACTCACATTTCCATTTCGGATCTTGCAGATTTTATATTGGCTGTGATCGGTGTCAGAATTGGTACCATGGGCGCTGTGTTGGCATCTTGCAGAGTGAGGCAGAGCTCATTGACGAGTATGTCTGTCCACAGTGCCAGTCGACAGAGGATGCCATGACAGTGCTCACGCCACTAACAGAGAAGGATTATGAGGGTTTGAAGAGGGTGCTGCGTTCTTTACAGGTGAGAAACCACTCTGTGTGCCACGTTTGAGGATGAAATCTACCGGTGTGACTTTGGAAACACTCCTAGAGTTTGAACTTTCCAATCTTAGACTACCTATTTACTGACTCCCAGCCAATCTAGTCAAGTGGTCCACAGACTTCAGTCCTTCACATGCCAATGTCATGAGGTTTCCATAGCCACACAGTAGCTCAGCTGCTCTTAACCTAACACTTGTATTTAAAATGAGTCACTTTTTTTTTAATGAAATACTTCTATTTATTTTTTTTAATCCTCACCCGAGGATATTTTTCCATTGATTTTCAGAGAGTGAGGGAAAGACAGAGAGAAATATCGATTTGAGAGAAATGCATCATTTGGTTGCCTCCTGCACGAGCCTGCAACAGAGATATCGAACCCAGGACCCTTCAGTCCTCAGGCTGACACTCTATCCACTGAGTAAAACTGGCTAGGGCTAAGATGACTCACTTTTTAACCTAAATTTTATTTTTAAAGAAAACTTTATCCCACCATCATAGATTGAAAAACAGTCTGATTAAATCCTAGTGAGATACAAATGCTTACGTAAGGCTTTGAGCCAAAGCCTTCCCTCCCCTTATTAAAAATCAAAAGGAGGTGGGGAAGGCCTACAAGGTTAGCAAATGCTAGAGATGTATTCAAGACGTCAGTGTTAGACTGACACTCTCTCTGTTGTAATCACAGACTGGAGAATGGGAAGAACTGAAAGGAGAACAACAGTCTCAGCACGGGGTCAAGTGTTATTTACCATCACATTTCTGCCGCCACATTAGCCAGCAGTGCTGACCATTCCACACTTTGCCTTTTTACAGATTAAATGTATTAGTTTTAGAGAGAGCAGGGAAAGAAGAGAAAGGGAGAGACATAGATTTGTTGTTCCACTTATTGATAATTCATTGGCTGGTTCTTTTAAATATATTTTTATTGATTTTTAGAGAGAGAGGAGGGAAAAGGATAGAAACATCAACGAGAGAAACATCATTGATCAGCTGCCTCCTGCACGCCCCCCACTGGGGATCGAGCCCACAAACCCCAGGCTTGTGCCCTGACTGGGAATCAAACCATCAACCTCTTGGTTCATGCAACACTAGCCAGGCCATTGGTTGATAATTGCATGTGCCCTTCCTGGGATTGCACCCTCAACCATGGCGTATCGGGTCAACGCTCTAACCAACTGAGCTACCCAGCCAGGGCTTCCATTTCACACATTGAACCCACCCAATCCCCTGTTTTATGGGTGTGATTACAGTGCCGGTATCATTCAGTTGGCAGGTCATCATGCCAACTTTCTTTACTCCTAAAATAGTGCTTCAAACCCTGCCCCCTCATGCCAAGGTCCTCAGACCACTCTTTGAAAGCCATTGTTATAGAGTATGCCCATCTGAGATAATTTGTGACTAGAGCAGTATTATCCTATATAATAAAGAGCTAATATGCTAATTAGACCGAACAGCAAAACAAACATCTGGACAACCTTCCTGACGAAGCCGGGGCTGCAAGGGCGGAGCCCCTTGCACGAATTTCATGCATCGGGCCTCTAGTAAACAATATTATCTATCCAGTTTAAGACTCTAGAGTTTAAGCGTTGATTGATGCAGTAATTCCAATGGGAAATTTAAATGGAGTAATATTTCCACCTGACAATAAGAATGGCTCTTTTATTTCCTTGTAGGCCCATAAGATGGCCTGGCCCTTCCTGGAACCAGTGGATCCTAATGATGCACCAGATTATTATGGTGTCATTAAGGAGCCTATGGGTAAGTACTTGAGTGGATTATGGGTTTTTTTTCAAGTCTCAGTAGATATTTCATTTGTTACCCATAAAATTACTATATCATAGCTTAATGAGAGTATAAATTGGTGTGGCAACTTGGAGGGTAAGTTAGGGGTGTGTATTAATGTTTAAGTGTGCATACCCTTGGAGCCAGCAGTTTGATTTCTTAGGATTTGCATGTGTACAAGTATGATGTTCATCACACAGTGTTTATAATTGCAAAAATACTGGAAATGAGATAAATAGCCCTTAGTAGAGGAGTAGCCAAATCAAATAACATATAAGTAGAGTCTTATTCCGCTATAGAAAAGAATGAATGGGTCAGGTCTGTCTGAGCCTCTCATCCTGTCTCTTCCTTATCTTTTCCTGAAGGAGAACCATTTGATGAATGCACAGTGGAGATCAAAGAGAAAACAGCCTTATTTCCGGTGGGAGGGGTTAATAAGTTACAGCTACAAGTGATTATATTAAGATGGAAAGCTCCAGTGATTATATTAAAAACTAGAGGCCTGGTGCACAATTTTTTTTTTTAATTCTGAACCCAGAAAAAGACAGATGCTCATATATTATTATTAGCTACAACTGTGCCAGGCTCCATTTTAAGGGCTTCTCATGTTTTATTTTTTTCCAACTTATATGCACTATTATTAAAACTCACTTTTCAGGCGAGAAACAGGCAGGTTAAATGCATCTAAGATCACACTGACAGTTAAATGGCAGAGACTCAGGATTGAACATTCTGGCTCCTGAGAATACATGATTCACAGTAACTGCCCTCTGAAATAATTCCAATATTACCATACTAGACCCCCACCCAATTTTCTGAAAGCATATAATGACCCACTTATTACTCTCATAGCACCCAGTTTTATGTGCAGAATAATATATGTCCATGCCACAAGAACTGTTAGGTGGCATGTTCACTCTTAATGGAGTTGTGTTAGAACTACCTGCTTACTGTTATCTAGAAGTTACTAGAGCAATCACAGCTCCACAAACTTTAAAATTACACCCCTCCTAAGCCTCAGTTAATATTAATAATTTACTTATTATGAGACCAGTGTTTCTGATCTTTTCCCCTCCAAGACCTAGCAGTTATCATTTTATGTGCCTCAGGCATGAAACAGCTCTGACCACCAACACAGGCATCAAGCTAGGATGAACTAAGGACTGTACATCTGCTTTGCCCCTGACTGATATAAGAGCAACACCACCAATCAGGTGTCTCCTTGCCCATTGCCAGGGGGTCTGGTGCACAAATTTGTGCGGGGGAGGGGAGCCAGCCGGCCATGGGGAGGGGCCATGGGAGGTTGGCTGTGGGAGCGCACTGACCACCAGAGGGTAGCTCCTGCTTTGAGCATCTGCCCCCTGTGGTCAGTGCACGTCATAGTGACTGGTTGACCGGTAGTTCGGTTGTAATGGTCTCTTGGGCTTTTAAATATATAGATAGAGTATCTGCAGAAATATTATAAAAATTAAAAATTCATAAAAGCTTACAAAACTGCCAAAGGATTAGTAGCTTCATCCAGCTGATGAAAAAAGTATTCCAAAGCCAGCTAAGCATTTTATACATCTTAAAAGCTGTCATCACAGAAAAAAAGAAATCTGTAGCTGTGTGATGGTGGATGTTAACTAAACTGATTCTGGTGATCATTGTGCAGTATATACGTATACCAAATCATTATACTGTACATTTAAAACTAATACAGTGTTATATGTCAACTATATCTTAGTTTAAAAAAATACTTTTTTAATTAGAAGGATTTGTGTTTGGTGACAACTCTTTCTTTTTAAATATATTTTTATTGATTTTAGAGGGAGAGGAAGGGAAAGAGAGAGATACAAACATCAATTGCCCCCCACCGGGAATCGAACCAATGACCTCCTTGGTTCATGGGTTGACACTCAACCACTGAGCCACCAGCCGGGCTGGCGACAACTTTTTAAAGAGGAGAAATAAGTGAGGGAGAAATAAGTGAGGGCTTAGTTAAAAGTATTTTTTAAGAAAACAACATAAATAGTTACCTCACTTCTCCTGAAGTTGAAGGTAGAAGTTAATCCTTGAATTCTTGTATGTGTTTCAGATTTGTATAATCTTCTTTAGATAGGTAGGTAGGTAAATAATTCTACTTTTAAAATTAACACAGGTTAATTGTAGAAAATTTAGAAAATAAAGAAAAAATAAGGAAAGATTAAGTACACCTTTCATCTTTTCCTCACTGAATTCCACTACATTTTGGTGTGTGTGTGTGGGTGTGTGTGTGTGTGTGTGTGTGTGTTAAAATTGAGATTATATAACGATCTGTCTGGTACACATCTTCCTATGTCATTAATCTTCAACAACATAATTTTTAATGGCTTTATATAGTCTGTAAATTGAATATACCTTAAGTTACTTAACCAAAATTATTTTCTTGAAGAGTTAGACTATTTTGCTATCTTTTTTCTGTATTATTACCGCCCAGATAAACATCATCTTATATAAGTAAGTACATAGAGACAATATAGATCTCCAAGACATACTGTTGAAAGAAAAATGAAAGTTACAAAACAATACTGTATCGAGGGGTGCAAAGGGGAGTGGGTATAGGAACATTTGTAATAGTGTCTACAATAAAAAAAAAAGAGCAATACGTAGGTTTTATGCAGTAAACAATTATATGTATTCTAAGGGTACATAAATGTCTTTAGAAATACCTAGGGCGGGTGGCAGAAGTATAGCCTGGCCGTCATGGCTCAGTGGTTGAGCATCAACCAAGAGGTCACAGGCTCAATTCCCAATCAGGGCACATGGCCGGGTTGTGGGTTCGATCCCCAGTAGGGTACATGCAGGAGCATCTGATTGATGATGTTTCTCTCCCATTGATGTTTCTATCTCTCTATTCCTCTCCCTTCCTTTCTCTGAAATCAGTTGGTTAGAGCGTCATCCCAATGTACCAAGGTTGCAGGTTCAATTCCCAGTCAGGCCACATACAAAAAACAACCAGTGAATGCATAAATAAAGGGATTCAAGAAATCAGTGTATATCTTTTGTCTAAAAACCAATCAATAAAGTTAAAAAAAATAAAAATAAAAAGCTAGTCAGGCTGTTAAGTACCCAGAACTTAAATACAAAAATGATAATATCCTGGCATGATGTGTGAAGTATTTTACTTTTTCATAACCTACACAGAATAGATGTGCCCAGATCGTGCTTGGAACTTCGTCGGGCTATTAGGTGCACCTTTGCAGTTGTCCTTGTTTGCGCATTTTCCCTGCCGGTATAAATGGAAACAATCAAAGACTTACATGTGTGTGTGTTAAAACATGTAACATAAAATTTTCCATTTTAACTATTTTTATATACACAATTTAGTGATTGATTACATTTGCAATGTTGTCTTTTAGTAATTTTTATGGTTTTAATTTTTGCCCTAAAATTTTGACCCACCTAGAATTATTTTGGCTTATAATGTGAGGTGGAATTTTTCTCTTCACATATGTAGTCAGTTGCCCCAACCCAATTTTTTAATGAATTCTTCCTTCCTCTACTTATTTGAAATGACATCCTCAACATACATGAAATTCTTATGCTTAATACAGTTAGGTCTGTTCCTATTTTGAATTCACTTCTGTTAATGTTTGTGTCATCCTGCAACGTGCCACACTTTTCATTATTACAGCTTTATAATATTTTTTAATGTCTGATAGATTAAATTTTTTCATTGCTTTTATTTTTCAGATTCAAAAATAATCATTGAGATTTAGTTTAGAATTGTGTCTCTTTCAGTCAATTCTAGATTAATTTTTAATCATTGGCCTTTTACTCATACCAGGATTACAAAACTACAGAGATTTTGTTCTTAATTCTAGATTTCCCCCTTCTCTTTGTACATATGATAGTTATACTTACTTGTGTGCCTGTGAAAAATGCATACTTAAATATGTATTGATCATGTTATTTAAAACTAATTGAATAAAGAGCTGTTCTCTGTACTTAACTAAAAATAAAAGAGCCTTCTTAGCAGCAGCCAAGATTTTTACATCAGGCCCCCAAGCAAAAACAAAAAGTGCTCCTATTTTCTTCAAGAACTGCTCAAAGCCTTAATGGTGAGTCAGTTTGGGCAGGAAATATATATTCTTGTGAGTCAGAACTGTGAGCAGTATTCACATTGGAATAACCTTAAAGCTTTGAAAATGTTTTACATTTTGTGTTTTTAAGACCTTGCCACCATGGAAGAAAGAATACAAAGACGATATTATGAAAAGCTGACAGAATTTGTGGCAGATATGACCAAAATTTTTGATAACTGTCGTTACTACAATCCAAGTGACTCCCCTTTTTACCAGTGTGCAGAAGTTCTTGAATCATTCTTTGTACAGAAATTGAAAGGATTCAAGGCTAGCAGGTAAGCAGATGTGTTCATTGTTCTGAATTAATTCAGCTCCTCAAACTCTTTATACTATTCTGTCAAAGGAATCAGCCACTGAAGTTTATGGTAAATTTTAACCTTAACATTAAGAATCCTTAAAAAAAAAAAAAATAAGACTAGCATTATGATATACTGCCAAGGACAAGAGAACAGACTCATAATGAGAGATTGCTGAGTTTGTGATCTACTTAGAATTAATGTCATTTTTTAAAATTAAAAAAGCATTTATCAAATGCTTCCAGAAAGCAGGATGTTCTCTTAAATGCACTACACGTACAAAGATAGTAGTAGAAAGTCAGAGCTCTTGGTCCAACTCACAGGGTATAAAAGTGACTTCTGTAGGGTGCAGGAGGGGAGACAATGAAGGGGAATGTAAGTATTTTCTCCTTAATTGACGTTTGCTGTATCTTTGAAAGCATAAAATGTTTCTTTTTTCTGGGTATTTTTTCTATGGACAAAACTAGACTTTTAAATCCACAGACCTTTTCTTTGAACCTCTAGTAACATAAAAGCATTGAGCAACTTTGCATCATGTTCATGTGCTGTGACTTTCGTTACCTGTTTCTAAACCTCAGCCCTCCTCTGGAGCCCATGACGTCCTTCTTTCCAACGGAAGCCCAGCTTTCATTCCCATGGTAGCTGCCACCACTTTCCAGCCCGAGGTTTCATTATTCACTCTCCCCCATGCACCACCCCACAAGCCTCGTTGTCCCTAGATATTCAGTTGACTAGATCTTGGCTGGGTAGGGGCCTGAGCACCTGTATTATCTAATGGACTCCCAAGGGGCTCCTCATACCAGAGGGTAAGAACCAGCACTCTACTTAGTAATTTTCCCCGGAGGAAAATCTGTAGGGTGCTTTTTGTCTCTCCTTTTCCTATAGCAAGTTATATCAAGAACTGCGTTTTAGAGTCAGTTTACATAAAATAAATGAAGGACAGCCCAGCTGAAGTATCCAGTTATCTTCTCAGCAAAGGAATCAAAAACTGTAGGCAAGGAAGGGAGGAAAGCAGGTATGTAAGCAGCCAGGCTGTAGACAAGAAACCAAGAGACTTGACAAAATCTCTAAAACTTGCCCTTTTATCATCCCCTCTATGTTAACCCATTTGCGGTAAAACTTAAAATGGAAGAGGATTTATTCAATACTAGAGGCCCGGTGCATGAAATTCCTGCACTGGTGGGGGTCCCTCAGCCCAGCCTTTGCCCTCTCACAGTCCAGGACCCCTCGCTCCTTACCACCCACCTGCTCGCTGCTCCTTAGTGCTACTACGGAGGTGGGAGAGGTTCCCGCCACCACCACTGTGCTCATCAGTCGTGAGCCTGGCTTCTGGCTTCAAGGCACTCCCCCTGTGGGAGTGCACTGACCACCAGGGGGCAGCTCCTGCATTGAACCTCTGCCCCCTGGTGGTCAGTGTGCATCATAGCGACCGGTAGTTCTGCCATAACGGTCGCTTAGGTTTTTATTATATAGATGACAGAATCCCCAGGAAACTAACAATAAAGGAATAAAAAGGGATAGACTCAGAATAGTGAAAAGAATATGGTAGTCGTTAGTTAGCTAATGAGATTTCAACAGATTCTGGAAGACAGAATGCAGATGGAAGAGGATCGATTGAAGCCAGGCAAGCCTCAGCCCAGACCCCTCTGGGAGGGCTCTTCAGCAGAGATGACAGCTTACTGCTCAGTAGAACCCCAGAGGGCCTCCAACACGGAGGTTCTGAAATCACATGGAAGGCAAGAGAGAAGGGAAAGGGAGGGAATAACTGAAGATTCACACAGATGCTCCACAACTTAACGATGGGGTTTCGTCCCAGTAAATCTATCGTAAATCCAAAGTATCCTAAGTCGAAATGCATTTATTAATACACCTAACCTACTGAACATCATAGCTTAGCTTCACCTGTTTCTACTGAACACACAAGCCTTTTGCACCTTTGTAAAGTCAAAACATCATTGAGTCCAGTCATCGTAAGCCAGGACCATCTGTATGTGAGCTAGTGACCTTCCCTAACCCCTGTGTGTGGGAGAAGCCCAAGAAGCTGGAAGAGCACAGGATTCTTCTTTAAAGAAATGGACTAAACTTCGGGGGATTAGAGCAGACAGAAGAGAATGGGACCCAGAGTAAAGTACCCTGGCCTCTGAAAGGTCTGGTCCCAGACCCTCATTCTAAAGTTGTGGCTCTCAACAGGGATAATTTGTCCAATCCCCAGCTCCCAGGGGATAGTTAGCAATTCCTGGAGACATTTTTGTTGTTGTTACACTTAGAGGAGGGAAGTGGTATTGGCATCTATAAGTAGAGGCCAGGGATGCTGCTAAACATCCTACAATGCACAAGACACCCTCACAAACAGGATTATCCAGCTCCAAAATGTCAGTAGTAAGATTGAGAAACCATGATCTAAAGCAAAAAATCCTGCCAGCCAGCCCTACACACATACACAGGGCTCTCCAGGTACCTATCTAGTCCATTAGCTTTTTTAAAATCTGTGAACCTACAGCCAGGGGCAGCCAGATACATAAGGAAAGCCTGCAGTGTGAATGAGGAAGATCATGGTGTAGCAGTAAAATATATCCCAGAGAAAACAAGAGAGAACTTTAAAAAGAGCCTCAAAAAAATTTTTTTTAAATATATTTTATTGATTTTTTACAGAGAGGAAAGGAGAGAGATAGTGTTAGAAACTTCGATGAGAGAGAAACATCAATCAGCTGCCTCCTGCACACTCCCCACTGGGGATGTGCCCGCAACCAAGGTACATGCCCTTGACTGGAATCGAACCTGGGACCCTTGAGTCCGCAGGCCGATGCTCTATCCACTGAGCCAAACCGGTTAGGGCTAATAAATAAATAAATAAATAAATAAATAAAACTTAAAAAAGAGCCTCTAAATCAGTGGTTCTCAACCTGTGGGTCGTGACCCCTTTGGGGGTCGAACGACCCTTTCACAGGGGTCGCCTAAGACCATCGGAAAACACATATATAATTACATATTGTTTTTGTGATTAATCACTATGCTTTAATTATGTTCAATTTGTAACAATGAAAATACATTCTTCATATCAGATATTTACATTACGATTCATAACAGTAGCAAAATTACAGTTATGAAGTAGCAACGAAAATAATTTTATGGTTGGGGGTCACCACAACATGAGGAACTGTATTAAAGGGTCGCAGCATTAGGAAGGTTGAGAACCACTGCTCTAAATCATGGCCTGAGAGAAATTTTAGAAGATAATGTAAATGGTGAACAGGATATTAGGAATAAAGAACAATCTGAGGAAAAGGAGTGAGTGAGTGGAAAAATTTTTAATTAATTTCAAGCAGTGAAAGTTAAGATCAAGACACTCTCCAAGTATAAAGAACAGAAAGACAAGGAGATGAAAAATGTGAAAGAAAAAAGATGTTTTAGAGTACCCAAAATTCCAGAAAGAACAGAGAAGACGAGAGGAAATGATCAAAAGACTAATATAAGAAAAGTTTCCTGAGCTAATGAGAGGCACAAGACTTCAAATCCAAGCAAATACATTCATTCATTCAACATATGGTTGAGACCTTGCTGTATGCTGGAGATTGGATACAGCAATGAATAAGTAAAGCTCTTGCTCCCTTGGAGCTTGCTTTTTTGTGTGGTAGGAAAACAGGGCGGGTGGTGTGGAATGCTGAGGACATTGACAAACATAATGAGCCCGCTGGACACATGGAAAAAGCTCCACCCCACGCACATCATATAAAATTTCCAGATGCCAAGGTTAAAAGAAGCTCTTTAAAACAGACAGTCTACAAATCAACAAGAATTAGACTGGTATCAGACTTTTCTCTAGCAACTAGAATGCTAGAGTATTAAGGAGAAATAAAAAGTTTGAGGAAAAATGATTTTCAGCCTAGAAGTCTTTGTCCAGCCAAACAATCCAAGAGAAAGAATACATGTTAGTCATGTAAGGGCTCAGAAAGGGGCTCCTTCCCATGCTTCTTTCTCAGCAAGTTATTTTAAGATGTTCAGTAGCTAAATAAGCAAATCAAGCAAACAAGACCTTGAATCCAGGAAACAAGAGGTTCAAGAAATCAATGGGAATTACTCTGACCCAGGGTGACATTTGTATGGCAGGCCTACACAGCTAGCAGCCCAAACGAGCTGGAGAGTGGAGCACTCCCGTGAGGGAGGTGTCTGGGAGAAAATGAAAGGCAATTAGAGCCCTAGCCGGTTTGGCTTAGTGGATAGAGCATTGGCCTGCGGACTAAAAGGTCCTGGGTTCAGTCCCGGTCAAGGGCACATGCCTGGGGTTACAGGCTCCATCCCCTGTAGGGGACATGCGGGAAGCAGCTGATCAATGATGCTCTCTCATCATTGATGTTTCTATCTATCTCTTCTTCTCCCTTCCTCTCTGAAATCAATAAAAATATATTGAAAGAGAGAAAGAAAGAAAGAAAGAAAGAAAGAAAGAAAGAAAGAAAGAAAGAAAGAAAGAAAGAAAGAAAGAAAGAAAGAAGAAAGGCAATTAGAAACTCCGTGAAAAATGAAACGCTGCATAGGAATACTGAGAATGCCCTCTTAGCACAGGCGTAGACGCTGCAGAGAAAAAGATTTACATAGCCACATTGATTTTCAGCTTTGAGAATCGGCCTCTAGACAGAGCATAGAAAGATTACGTTTATAGGGAAGTAAAACTTGGACTCAAGAAGGGAGGGGAAATGGTTACATGAGCTCACTTCTGTTTGCCATAACAGGATTTTGAACAATATGAAATTGATAAAATGGAGAATAGCAGTATAACAAATCTAACTGTCTGAGAACTGAAAGTCCAAAGTGATTGATCCTAGGGAGCCCAGGTTCCTATTCAGTAAAGACAGGACGGGGGAGCCCTAGCTGGCTTGGCTCAGTGGATAGAGCGTCAGCCTGCGGACTGAAGGGTCCCAGGTTCGATTCCGGCCAAGGGCACATGCCTGGGTTGCGGGCTCAGTCTCCAGTGGGGTACGTGCAGGAGGCAGCCCATCAATGATTCTCTCTCATCATTGATGTTTCTATCTCTCTCTCCTTCTCCCTTCCTCTCTGAAACCAATAAATATATTTAATAAAAAAAAAAAAAAAAAAAGACAGCACAGGCCTCTCTATACTGTTAGCTTATTCACAGGCCTCTCTATACTGTTTGGGTTATACCGCCAACAATTATCCTCTGAATAAATTTCTAAAAACATTTTTTTTTAATTATATATATATATATAACCTTTGGTGGGAACTGTGAGGGGGAAGCTGGGAATCGGCAGGCAGAACCCTGAGTGGGAAAGGTAGCAGCTGCTGCTGCTAGGCCTGTGGAAACAAAGGAATGGGGGGAGGAGGGGGCCGAATCAGCACAAGAAGTGACCTCTCGGGAGAGCTTGCCACCAGGTTATCTTATGTAGCTTTTTATTATATTTGATTTTATATAGTTTTAATAAGAACATGGCAGCCCATTGAGGAGCTTGCTCAGTTCTGCTTAAATAAACAAAATATAATTGAAGAGATGCTAGGGAATTTTTGATTTGCTGATTTAAGGCAGAATGAAACACATATATAGCCAATCACTGAAATTTGATTTATTTATGGTTCCCAGTTTTTCCTTTGCCATATTTCCCCCATTTTTAATTTACTAGAGGCCCGGTGCACAAATTTGTGCACCAGTAGGGTCCCTTGGCCTGGCCTGCGGAATCGGGCTGAAACTGGCTCTCTGACATCCCCCGAGTGGTCCTGGATTGTGAGAAGGTGCAGGCCAGGCCGTGGGACCCCACCAGTGCATGATCAGGGCCGGGGAGGGATGCAGAAGGTTGGCCAGCCCAGGAGGGACCAAAGGAGGGCTCCAGGGTGTGTCCGGCCCATCTCGCTCAATCCCGATTGGCCAGACCCCAGCAGCAAGCTAACCTACCAGTCGGAGCATCTGCCCCCTGGTGGTCAGTGCACATCATAGTGACTGGTCGACCCATCAACTGTCTGCTCCCTGGTGGTCAGTGCATGTCATAGCCAGCGGTTGAGTGGTGTTAGTGTATCATTAGCATATTACACTTTGATTGGTTGAATGGACAACTGGATGACCAGACACTTAGCATATTAGACTTTTATTATATAGGATGATCACCAGCATTGTTTAGAAATTATTTTCATTACTTTGTTACCATTCATCATTTATACCATCCATGTTCTTTCTTTTCTTACAGATTGTGATATCTTTAGTCTGAATTTTTAACTGGAATCAGAACTGGATGTGGGGGTCACACTTTTTCTAAACCACGTGATTACCTAATTCAAAGTTGCCACCCCAAAGTTCAGATTAGTTAATATAATTTTTAATGTTAAATAAAGATGTATAGTAAAAAAAAATTTATTATAGCAGCCATGTTGAACAATGTATTTAAGATTGTAAACTCCTGAATTGCTGTATTTACATACTTTGACTTAGTCCTGGTAACTGTACAGTAATTTGGTTTACTAACAAAAGTTGTGAATAAAACTGTGAAACTAGAAAGAAGACTTTCTGGAGTTTAATAGAAAAATGTGATTTTAATATTTTTACTTCTCTTTTAACATAATTTTTTCCTTTCACATTCCCCAAATCAGTGTAAATAAGCACACGCATGCATACACGCACAGACCCACAAACGCATACACACCGTTTACCACAAGGGTAATGCTTCTGTAAATGTCCCTATTTGTTCCTTTGGCTAAAAATGTAATTTTTATTAGGCAAATATATATATATATATATTAATATTGGCTTTTTTCTGTGAATTTTCATATTTTGTGTACAGTAAAGTTTTTTAATTTTAAGCCTAAACGTTTCTTACTTGTTCTCAATACATTTGCTCACCATCGGTAAATGAAAGAGCATGGCTGCTTCCCCTACACAGATTGACCTTGGCATCCACATGAAGCATCATTGTTTTCAAAAATGAAGGGTGCTTAATTGTTCCCTTTTTTCTGTATTCTGTAGGTCTCATAACAACAAGCTGCAGTCTACAGCTTCTTAAAGTTCAGCGTGTTAACCTAAACATAAAACAGCAAGAATCTGGTTGTCTGAACTATTTTAAATTAAGGAGCCAGATGTTTTTAGTCAGGTTATCCTGACAAGACTTGACCTAAACTTCGTTTTTATTGGTCATAACAGTCCAATTTTATTCTTGACCAATTTTGTCCAACGGACAAGGGAAAAGCGAAGTCAACGACACCATTATCTTGTCAAGATCAAATGGTTTTACTATTGTGGCAGAAGCGGGAAAACTTTGTTTATTGAAAAAAAAAAGAAAAAGGAAAGCAAGAAAAAAAGATAATATGGGGTCAAGTGTAACTCCATGGAAATGCCACGTCTGCTCTTCAGTGAAGAAGCTGGTTTAGAGTCTCACAGAAAACTTTTGACTGTATTTATTTATTGTTGCAAAAAAAAAGACGCTTTTTTATTGCTGCCCTCATTTGTCAGCTAATTATTTTTTCTTATAAAATCCAGCCCTGGTTACATGTAATCCATTCTGTATCTTATCATGATTCCTATAGGTAAAAGTACAAGACGACCTCTAGATGTCTTTTCTTTCTATGAAAGGAGCTGCTATGTACACATGTGCACACACACACAACTGGGAATCAACAATGAGTTTATTGTTCATGGTAGATAAAAATTAAGCTTGCATAAAGGTTGAGCTAAGTGGTCCTGGACTACAGACTCTGTTGCCTTGAATATAACAGTACAATTTGTCATTTACTCTACACCAGGCTAAAATGAGTAAACTCTATTTGAAGGTATCTTGTTTGTAAACATTTGTCAGATTCTAATTTTTTTCTTTTTGTATTAAAATTCAACTATGGATGTATATGAAACAAAATAAATGGAGATCATTTTTCTCCCACAGATGGTGTCTTTGAATGTGCGCTAATGATTATCTGTAAGCCTTTAAGGGGAAAGGGTGGGCTGCAAGGTAAATAAAAGGCAGAACCATCCAATCGTACCTGGGTTTGTCCAGGATAGTAATAGCCCTTCCTTTTATAGTTCCCAGCCCATTGTCATCACATCAGAGAAAAATCTTCAGGGGTGTGCTAGTCCTGTTGCATCAGTTGATTGTACTAATAAAAAAGGTAATGTGACAAACACACATTGCCTTCATCTGCAAATTATCAGTCACAGACAGCTACTTAGTTGATGAAGGGCATTTTTTTAGATGGCATCCTCTGTTTTTGTTTTTGTTTTTTTTTTTTTTGGTTGGTTGGTTGAGTTGTTTGGATTTTTTCTTTCTTTCCACATAAGAAAAAGTAGGGTAAGCAGTAGGGTGGGGAATGGAAGCCGTGGAGGAGGCACATTTGCATGTTTCTCCTTCCTGTGTTCTAACTGTACAGCTGTACCACGGCATTGGAATAACAGCTTCTAGACGACCTGCCATGGTTGGCTTATGCAGCTTTGCAAACATTTTACTAGATTTTGCACTAACTCATATTAGCTTTGTCCCACCACATTCTGGAATTAATGTTTTTAAAAAGTTTCCTGTTTAATATCACCCTGCTATGCAAAATCTTTCCCAGACCTTTGTTTCTTGAAAGAAAGAGGTTGCTACAGTTCCCAGTTCTTTCTTATTCCAGGCTCAGGTGTACAGGTTATTCTGGGTTAATTTTGTCTAATGAAGCCCATTGCTTTTTGTACATAAAAATGTCACTTAAACCTATGCTTACAAACTAAAGAGACTAATGCTCAATATGAAACATGGAAATCGTTTTTGTTAAAATATTAACATGGAAGTAATCAAATATAGGTTATTTTGTCCTCTTACTTTTGAAAAATGTTACATATTGTATGCACTATGCTGATGCAAGAATCCTACATTTTAATGAATTAAAAAATTATTCTGCATCTCATCACATCACAGTATTTCTGTACTATTTATTCATATAGAGAGAGATATAGATATATATGGGCTTAACCATTTAAAACTTGTTGCGGCAAGAACTTTCCTACCTGTAGGCAATAGATTGCTATGTTTTTAACAGATTGTGGTAAATTCTAAACAGCAATTCTTTTTGTACGTAATAGGACATTTCATCCTAGAAAAATAAAGTAATGTTTTTGACATTGGATTTGGTGCAGTTTCTAATGAAACAGTGGTTGGTTGGTTGGTTGGTTGATATATTTTCTGTAGCTGTTGGCATTGCCAAATTGTGCAAAAAAGGCAAATTTTATGGGAATCCTCTGACCAGGGAGACGTTAATTTCATATGTGTATTTAATATTATAAAGCCTTTTGCAATTTCTGTCACCATATAAATACATAGACATTTTATGGTTTTTATCAACTACAGAGTTTAGTCTTCCAAAGGTAATTTTTGAAAAGCATACATTCTTATAACACATGAGGAGTTTCAAAAGCTTTTTTATGAGTATTGACAAGCTTCTGCTATTTGGAATTACAGCTATTTTTTTTTTCTCAATCCAAGTAGTAAAATGCTCATTTGTGGTAGTTAGGATTTTTCTACCCAGTCTTTGAACTTGTAAATATATTTATTTTACATCAGTAGATTTCCTTGGCTAAAGGTATTTTCAATGCTTGTTATGTTTTATCTGCCAAACTCACAGTCCTTGAAACTAGTTCAGGAAATGTATTTTCATAATATTGGTAACGCTTTTTTTGCTCCTACCCAAATTCTGCAGGATTTGATTTTAGTTAATGTCCTGCAATAGGTAGGTTTTTAAAGTTGTGAACTTTTAGAGATATTTTCTAAAGTGAAACAGTTACCATTTTATATGTCAAGTGGCCTGGAGTGTTTTTTAGAGACACTGACAGTTGCTGTGGTTTGTAATCTACCTTCCCAGAATCTGCAAATAAAAGTTCTTTCCCTGTCCCTGTTCATTTCTATTAGGCAGACTCCCTGTATCTTTGTGTGTTTCTGATATTATTAAAGAGCCAACCTGGTGACCTTTCAAGTATGCACTCTTACAGACTGAGCTACACAGCACTGTGGTTACTGCAGAACTCACTCTTGTGATTGAGGCTGTCCCTGTAAGCCTCAGATTTGGAGCCCTTAAAGTGAGAATGGTATCTCATGGGCAAAGTAATATCTTACACATACTTACAGCCAGCTGAGAAGTCTTTTTAATAATTTTTGTAATCCTCACCCAAGGATATGTTTTGATTTTAGAGAGAGAGGGAGGAAGAGAGAAACATCAATTGGTTACCTCCCATATGCACCCAAGGGGGATTTGAACCCACAACCTAGATATGTGCCCTGAGAATCGAACCCGCAACTTTTTGGTGTAGGAGTGACACTCCAACCAACAGCCACCTAGCCAGGGCTGTAATAATTTGAAATATTCTGAGATCCTTCTATTTACTTAGAATAAAATACCAAAAACGGCTTTTAAATCACATCCCAGTTGATCCAGTTGGGACCAAATTCAGCTGAAGAAATAGGCTGTTTCTTAAATTATAAAGTCCTGTTCCTGAAATTGAATTGGTGTATTAAGGGTCAGTTTTTAGGTAAACGAAGGTAAAAAGCTAGTACCAAAAAAAAGTGTATCTGTTACCAAAAGAAAAACAAGTCTTTTTTTCTCCTTCAACTCACTGTCTCCTGTGCCCATCCCCATGCCCACCACTGCTCTAACTCATTTGAGCCTCATTACTGTCATTGCAAACCTTAAGTGATGGTCTTAAATGATGGCCTTAATTTTAAGAGGAAGTTCCTAAGAATCTGGCCTGCTTGTGTTTGCCGCGGTGTACATGCTAACTGTATGGCCTTCTAGCATCACGCAGGTCACAGTGCTGGGACATTTTGTGTTTCCAAAACTCAAAGTAGTACTATCAGCTCAGGCTAAGCAAACCCTAACCTTCAGGCTCTCTAAAAGTGATATTTTTTTTCTCTTTTAAACCAGATCATAATTATAACTTTATGCTCTAACATCTGACCATCCAACCAATCATTTCCCTATCTGGCCATTGTTTTTCCCCACTTAGCCTTGACATTTAAAAATTCGGCTTTGGTTTTTGCGACTGCTGCTACTTACGTCTGGGTTCATTTTTATCCTAAAACTAACCCAGAAGCTCCTCGGTCACTGCATACTCTACTGCTAATAGGTCATGTCAGAACGCAGTTGATTCTCAAGCCTTTCTAGTATGATTTTTTAAAAATATTTTATTGATTTTTTACAGAGAGGAAGGGAGAGGGATAGTTAGAAACATCGATGAGAGAGAAACCTCGATCAGCTGCCTCCTGCACAGCTGCCTCCTGCACACCTCCCACTAGGGATGTGCCCACAACCTAGGTACATGCCCTTGACCGGAATCGAACCTGGGACCTTTCAGTCTGCAGGCCAACGCTCTATCCACTGAGCCAAACCAGTTAGGGCTCTAGCATGATTTTTAAGATGGGCAAGACTCACTTTTGGAAAAATTCTCTAAATTTTTTTTTTTCAGTAATGCTTTAACCACAGAATAACGGAACCTCTCAGCCTTTATTTTACCTCTCTGCCCATGCTTGGGACAAATACGGTAGCCGTATCTCCCATCACACTCAGATGTTATGTCTCAGGCTATTGCTACTTGCTCCCCTCAAGTGTCTCTAAGTGTCCTGTCCTGGTGTCCTGCAGTGCCCTCTCGCCACTGAGCCTGTGTACCACTACAGCCAGATGCTTCTTGAACTCACTGAGTGCATGTCCTTTCACACCAATTAGGCTGTCTTCTCTCTAGTGCAGTTCCTTTTTATCTTTCTTTAGGCAGTAATCTTACCCATGGGTTACCAGTGTCTAGTCATGTTTCAAATGAACTGAAATACAGCATTTCAAATGAACAGAAGTACAGCTTGGTCTTCTGGGGGGAAAAACTGTTAATATTTTTGTGGATAACGGTTAAACTTTTTTTAACCCAACTGGAAAACGTTTAAAATTCACGTGCTTGCGAGCTGTCATTGAATATTTGTTCCAGGGTTTGTGGAGTAAGTTTGAGAGATGCTTCCTCCCAAATTTTTGGGGCTCAGTGAGGTGGAAAAAAAAAAGGTGCATCCAAAGATCTAATTTCAAGGCAAGGTTTACTGCTTGACAAACACAAACATGATACTTGGTCTTAATAGAAAAATGACATCAGATACACCCTGAATATGTTTAGCATTGGGATAGCTGACAGTTCCGCACAAAAGATAGGTTTTTAGGAGCAGGGAGGCATGAAAATAAACTATCTTACACTTTGGTAAATCAGAAACACTTGTTTGAGTAATATTTTGCTTGAATTAAGCCCTTTAATATTCTTTAAGTGTAAAACTTCATAACGTGTCTTGGGCTCTGACCCCGCTGTTTGATCTATATGACATCATACATGTCTTTGACTAGTGCACTTACTGTTATGTACAGAACTTAAAATGTGATGCTGTCGGTATAACATTTGGTTTGATACGTGATACAAACTATTCAAAGTTGTATATAAAATCAAGGAAATGTTTTTTGTGAACTATTTCTACTGAGAATGTATTTAAATTAAAATAATTAAAAATAAACAGCATGAAGCAGTGATCTGTTAATGGGACAGGTCAGTAGCTATGTGCATCACTAGCACTAAGAATAACTTTGCCACCGAGCTCAGAAGCATACATTTAGGAAGCATCTTGTAAATAAGGTGACAACTTCACGATTAGAGTTGGAACTATGCAACTAGTTCATATAAAGGAGCCATGTGCCCTATTATAAAGGAAGGTCCCATTCCATGAAGATAGACCTTTCCTGTGTTGATCAATTCCAAGTCTCTTATGATCCAGAAATGCTGGGATGGTAAATTCAAGTGCATTGGGTGTGAACTGCACCTTGAACCTGCACATCCCTTTTTCGGTTAAACCTTTTCACGTAGCTGCTGCTGCTCCGGAGCAGTCCATCTCCTGGTCGGAGGCGCCCTCTTAGGACCTGGAGCAGAGCTGTAGGGAGCTGCCGTCTCTTATGGTAGATGTGGCCCATCACAATATACCTGCTGCCTGGGGGGGAAAAAAGGTATAAATTCATAGTGTCTTTTAAATGTCATGAAACAATAAGAAAATGTAAGATCTTTAAGAAACGACTAAGCTTGAATCTATTATCTTGCTCTATTATTTTGAACCTCAGACAACTGGTAGGAACAGTGTAATAATGACCTTCAGAAGATAACCAGATAATGCACCTGTAAACACTCAACATTAGAGAACGAGGGTCCTGATCACAATGTACCAACAGGATTTTGCCAGAGCACATCTCTAGAGAGACGGGAGAGGGTATCGGCGTCCCAACCCTCAAGGATTTTTCTAAAAGCCGTTTAAACAGAGCCCCTTATGGACCCCTTCTGGCCACGGTGTTTCCAATCATGCACTCAATTGGTCAACGAATATTTACTGAGTGCCTGCTTTGTGCCAATCCGTGCTGTTCCCACCTTTAAGCGGAGGGCGGAGGGTTGTTGGAGCTTAACAGTGGCCAAAACAATACCTGTCGTCCAAATTCTATTCGTCTTGGAACACCCCTCCCCCCCAAAGGTGCTGGGGCGACCGAGCTGTGGCACCCACGTTACAAATGGTGATGTAAATAAAGGACATAAAAAGTGGTCAGATGAGCTTCAATACCAGGCTTCAACTCTGGACATGTCTTATTGCAGCTGGAGGAGTCTAGGGCTAAGAGGTGGACTCGGAAGAAAAAGCCGTCAGGAGTGAGGTACAGGCGGTTCATCTTGTACAGCCCGTCCCGGTCCACCAGCAGAGTCACCAGCTGGATCCCTGGGCCGACCACGTCCACATCATGCACGATTCCGTTCACTGCTGCTTCAAAAAACAAAGAGTTTGGACACATGCATAACGCTCGCTTCCCCTTTCTTTCCCCAGTCAGTGCGTTTATAACAAAGCAAGACAAAGTGCACACGGGTCTGGGGCCTGCAGGACCGAGTCGGTGGGTTTCTCTAGGGCTCTGTGGGGTGTCCGCGCGCATCGCCGAGCGCTCTCGGCTCGGAAGGGCTCGCCGGGCGGCCGGGGCAGCGCAGCCCGGGCCCGGGAGGAGCTGCGGGGCGGGGCTCACCGAACTCGCTGGCGC